CGCCGTCTTCTACCACGCTTTTCTTTTGTACGTTGGCCACATTGGGGTTGGGTTGGACGGTGGTGTTGGTCTCTTGTTAAGTGATAGTCGTCGTCAGGCTGTTGGCAGCGTGTGGGAGGTGCGGCCGCGGGATGCTCATAATAATTGAAGCATATTCACAGTGGTTGCCTCTTCCAGAGATGGGCGTGCGGACGGAAAGCTGCACATCACATCTACCCCGCTCACACAAAAACACATACCACACTAGACCACACCCACATACACATTTTCCGTTCCCCCATTGCTTCGAGCCCGCATGCTTCACGTTGTTTGTATTTGGTTGGATGGTCAAATGCTTGGCTGGACATAGCTGATTCTGGCTCGGGCTCTGGGTCTGAGCCTGAGTCTGGTGCTGCGTTAATTGTTTAATGGCTCGTTACTTGAATTCCCAGTGGGGGGGACCAATGGTGCGACGGTGCTAACTGGGATTTTCAAGTGCGATAATTGTAGCGTTTTATTATGGATTAAGCAAATTTTCTGTAAATTATATCTCACGGACGACGAGAATGTGGATCCGAAGAAAGGGGATGGGATGTATGCGCGTATACGAGTATAATGCATCATAAAGTAGTTGCACTTCGTGATTCCTGAATTAAAACTACTATCTTGATAAAAAAAATTCAGCAAACGGCAGTTAAAAGCTTTTTATACCCGATACTCAAAATGAGTATTGGGGTATATTAGATTTGTGGTAAAAGTGGATGTGTGTAACGTCCAGAAGGAATCGTTTCCGACCCTATAAAGTATATATATTCTTGATCAGCATCAATAGCCGAGTCGATTGAGCCCTGTCTGTCTGTCCGTCCGTCCGTCTGTCCGTCTGTCCGTCCCCTTCAGCTCCTAATGCTCAAAGACTATAAGAGCTAGAGCAACGATGTTTTGGATCCAGACTTCTGTGATATGTCACTGCTCCAAAAATATTTCAAAACTTTGCCCCGCCCACTTCCGCCCCCACAAAGGGCGAAAATCTGTGGCATCCACAATTTCGACGATACGAGAAAACTAAAAACGCAGAATCGTAGAAGATGACTATATCTTCTAGAGTGCCAAATCTGAACCAGATCGTATAATTATTACAGCCAGAATCACGAAAACAATTTCACTCTTTCTCGCTCTGTCTCACTCTAACACACAGGTTTCATGGTCGGTTTTGCCAATTGCAAAATATGAGTTCAAGGATCTCAGAACCTATAAAAGCCAGAGCAACCAAATTTGGTATCCACACTCCTGTGATATCGGACCTTGACCGTTTCCTGTCCAAATTTCGCCACACCCCCTTCCGCCCCCGCAAAGGACGAAAATCTGAGGCAACCACAAATCTCAGAGACTATTAAGGCTAGAGTAACCAAATTTGGTGCACACACTCCTTTAAGATGTCACTATAAAACGTATATCTCAGAATTTCGCCCCACCCCCATCCGCCCCCACAAAGGACGAAAATCTGTTGCATCCACAATATTGCAGATTTGAGAAAACTAAAAACGCAGAATCATAGATAATGACCATATCTATTAGATTGCTGAATCTGGATCAGATCAGATCATTTTTATAGCCAAAAGGAACAAATCAATTTGCAGTGGCTACGCAGCGCCCGACGTCACGCTCAGACTGATTTTCTGTCTCTCTCGCACGCACTCTTTGTCGTGTCGTTAAATATTAGCGGCGTCTGCCGGAGGAGAGCCATACTGACTTAGTATCGGGTATAACCGTAGAGTTGCGGTGTCCGCAGCAACTCACAACGTTCCCCCTCGTTTTTTTATAGATTAGCTACATTTGATTCAGGTTGAATATTTTTAATAATTGTATAATTATTGTACATGGAAACATTCAAATCCTGCAAAGATTTCAAAACAAAATCCTACGTACTATCTTCAACCAGAACTTTGAGCAGACTGCACCCATTCCATTTCGTTGTGCGCCCTAAAAACACTAAATAGTCTTATCGAAAACTTACTACTTTCATATTCAGCTATGTATAAAAATATTGGTTTTTGTATTCTTACTAAACGGTAGTACATGTATGTACTATATTTAACACTTCACTAGTATAATACCACCGTATAAACCATATTACTTATCTTGGAGGTAAACCAATATTTTTCAGTTCCCTGTTCATAACTTATACAAAATGTGAAATCTGTATCTATCCGCACTTCGAGCTCAGCAGATGCTATTGTACCTCCCAAAATCCAACAACTCGGATATGGTTATAGTCGTAGACATTGTTAATTCAACTTTAACATGAGCCATTCTCCTTCTCCATTCTAGAGTCCGTGTCATGCTGCCAGTGTGTGGGAGTGTGTGTCTGTCCCGGCAACAGTTGCGTTGCTCTAGTGCTTAGTAGAAAAAATAAAATATAAAAAAATAGCGTCGTTCCGCTTATCGCCTGCACGCAAGACTTCACACGGAGAAGAAAAGGAGTGGAAAATGGGCGTCTTGTGATATCAGTAAGGCGCACGCTGCCAGGGGCCAGGGAAACAAAACGGAAAGTGACAAGAGTTGGTCATGCTAACCGCCTTTACCCTCCCAATATCAATATGCGAATATGAAAGCAGGAAACTCTTTAAATATAGATTTCAGCAGACGAATAATTGGTGAATTAAAGCTAGTTTTCATTAACGGTAATCCATAAAATCGCGGAAGTCCGAAGTGATCGGTAAGGACCTACCCCATCAAATGATTATTTAAAACGAATACTCTTATATTTTATTTTGCCCCGAGAGCTGAGATTTTTGATTACATTTGTATGTAAACGACAAGCAACAAGATAAATGCAAGTTGAAATGCTTTCTTACCGCATCAAGAATCCACGCAAAAACGCGTGCACATATCAGTACACGTCATATTTCGCATACGTTGTCAGAGCTAAAGGATTTACTCTCAACAGTAGGCAGGCTGTGGGGTGTGGCTATTCATAGGTTATGTCAAGATGCAGTGCAGCTGCCGCACTGTTGCTCCGTGAATTCGGAGCTCGTGCAGGAGCGTGCGCTTCCTTCCATATCCTTTGGCTGCGCATATGTACGTACCAACAGTATCTGCTGAGATTATTAAGATCTCACTTATTAATATTGGTTCAAACTCCGGGGAGGCGGACTTGGACTCCGCTAGACTCTCCCATACTCCTTCACCGATAGAAATAGAAACAGTGCTCAAACGCAAAGGCAGAGCGGAAAACTTTTCAAAGCACGAGGATGTACCGTGTCGCTGGCACGTGGCACATCGCAATTGCGCTCCAGCTCTAGTACTGAAGTTAGCCTGAACTTAATGTGCAGATTGCAGGACTGGTTTCTACTTCCTGCCGATGGATTTACTTTCAGTCGCTCCCATACAATACAATAAGAAATTTCGCAACTTCCACCCCCGCACCGTACAGAGTTTTTGATCTAATCTGCGCATATTAAAATCTCAAATATTGTAAAAGCCATCTGGCTAGGATCGGTCTTTATACAGATAAAGTATTCTTTAGACGGTAATAACTTTTATCCGATCGTTTCTCAAGCTGTCTATCATCACACCAGGTTATCAAAACTTTAGCAAAATTAAAATATATAAGAAGTACGGTTTTCCCGAAAGCTACATAGTAGTATATCGAATATATATAAGTACGAAGAGAGTAGCAATGATCCATAGATATTGATGTGGAAACATACACGTTAAGAGGGGATAAACCAAACGAGTATGTGTGTTTGTACTAAGTACAAATGATTGCTATATGAATGGGAAATAATAGCATTAGGTAAACAAAATAAATAGTAACGTGGTTACTGAATGTTTGGTCTGACTATATCCGGGTCATATGTTTTCTAATTTGGGCTTGTTATGGTATTATTATTTTTTTTTTTACTGATTTTGTGTGTGCTCTCGAGGAAGAACTTTGTAAACATTCCACGCATATTTTCGAAATGAGTACACTTTCATCATTCAGTGAGCACTCTGGCCGTCTCTTTCTATCCAGTAAAAACTGGCCAAACCCAAACGCGAAAACAGGACCAACGATTATTAAATTCCAGCCTCCTCACATGAGGCTGCTGTGGGTGTGACCATGTTCAGACTTGTCGACATTTTGCAAAACAACCGCACGCCCACGCCCACGCCCCTTGAAGATTGAGCGCGGCGTGCCGTGCATGAGCTTGCCGTGGCTGCAGCGGAAACGTGCGGGTAGTTAATGGAAGAGTGTAGCGGTTATTGTATCGGAATGAAATGAAACAATTCGATTGGGCGCTGCCACTGCCACTGCCACTGCCACTGCCACTGCCAGTGCCTCTGCCACTGCCACGATTTTCCTGTTTGTTCGGAATATTCAAATTCTATCAGATGTTCTGGGCGGGGGGTGTAAATATGTAAATATACGAGTAAAATTATAGATACATAAGTACCGCTAACCATGAAAAGATTAAAGTCAACAACGGATGGGCTTTTGGTAGCCTTCCTCGGGCTAAAGTTTTCGTTTCAATTTTACGTCCTTTACATATCCCTACACCACCTAGGTGATGCTAAAACGAGTTTTAAAGGTTGGAAATTATTTCATCATTTCAAAATAAATTCGTTCATATTTAAATACTATATGCATGTACATTGTCGCATTCGTGTGTATAGTACATTTTCAATTATTTGACTGTAAGTCTGCAGACTATTCATTTTCAACCCCCGGGCTCCGGCCGCGATTTCTGCACTCCTCACTTAAAAGCATGTTTCAAGCCTGCAAGAGCGGGATAGCTCTTGTGCCATCTCGAGCCAACCACATTGATTCCATGTGGCAAGTGGTGGTGCGTGAACCGGCTTTACGAACCAATCAAATCAGAGGAGCCTTCCTACCACAGCACAAATTAGCACAGGAGGAGAGGAGAAGCCGTCTAGTCGGTTAATGGTACACAACCAAGCAGTTGCATTCTTATTGTGACCCGCGTAGCAAAGGTAACTATAGAGCGGCGCGGTCCGGTCTGTTGTTAGATGCTCCAGGCTACGAATCGTTAATGAGAGCCTAATCGGCATTGTAACGCAAACGTCGGTATCGGAATCGGTACTGGTATTGGTACTGCTACTGCTACTGTTATTAGAAGTTCTAAGGTATCGCGTAGTGTTATTTCTCCAAGTGGAGCAGCAACCGAGATTCCCCTACATATTTATGTAAATAAGTTTATCTAAGTTTATCGCGTTCCGTTCCGTTCACGTTCACTTGTCATAATTAACAAATATTCCGCGCATTGCGCAAAGTGAAAATGTGCAAAAGTGTTGGCCAATACATACATATGAGGAATTGAAAGCGGCGAATACGAAATGAACAAGTGAATTAAAACAAAGGCGGATGCTCAGCTTCATTTATGTTTGTGCAGTTCGAGTCCCCATGACATCGCCAACAAAAGGGATCCCCCTTCAATTCACAGTTAACATCTGCACAGATTCTTGAGCTTAGTCTGTTTCCCGTGGTGTGGACGCAGCGTGAGCGTGAAGTCAAAAGTCGGCAAACTGCGCTATTCTCGAAAAATTTCTGTGTAGGCATTTTAAATGTGAGCATTGGCACATGCATACATACCTGTGTATGTATTGTATGTACATCTGATTACATCACATTCAGTGGAATCAATAAAGCGTCAAACCATCTACATATCCAGAATCAATTATGTTTACGTTGCAACCAACACCGACGGCGATCAGTACTGTAGTGCCCCCATGGTCTGCGGGAACTCTCATTGAGCGCCTACCATCTCTCGAGGAAATGGCTCACAAGGGTAAGAATAATTGGTAATTGGCTTTGGACACTTTACACGGTCAAGTCAAGTTACAGGTGCCTTGCGGGTCCGTGCCTAAGCTCCGAACCGACCCGAACCGAACCGAACCTAGATTCATGTATGCAATCTCATTCCCATTCTGATGATTTGAAATTATTGTTTCGATTTCCTAGATCGGTTGAATGCAACGGTCATCACCATCTGATATAGTACATAGTCTGCTGCTTAGTCCGACATATGTATGTACATACATGCATACATACCATAAAAATACAAATAGACGGTCGGCCTAAAAGAAGCGTTTTTAGTGATCATCAAATAATTATACTTATTCATTGTTGCATTGTGCATATTGTACTCAAATTTGTACAAAACAACAGCCCTAGACTTTTTCGGCATGAGAATTATAAGTTCATGTGTACCTATAGTGTATTTGGACGGAGGACTCAAAAACATATGTACATAGTTGATTACTTAGGATCGTAACTATCATCTGAATAACATTCCAATAACTAGCTTATAGTAACTTGTTGATGTGAATATTTTTCCTTTGCTCTGCTCTTCTTTTATAGACAATGTGATTGCGATGAGAAATCTGCCTTGTTTAAGTACCGCAAGTGGTAGTGGACTAGGCGGAAAATCTGCTACTGCGATGGAAGCCGTGGATGCGACCACAGGGGCGCAACCCCATTCGACATCGTCGTATTTTACCACAACTTACTACCACTTAACTGATGACGAATGTATGTTTCCGGCTCCAACTCCATACCCGTACACCATTTCCACCTAGCCCTCCATCGCACACCAATTTAAATCCACATTCCCCATTACACTTCCTCTTCAATTATTTAAGTTTACACAGCAGCAGGAGCAGGAGCAGAAGTTAAGCTCTTTGCCTTTGCTGGTTAACCAGATTTTGGCGCGTGGACTCTTAACGCGTATGTGTATGTGGAAGGCTCATATGTGGGATGGATGTCTATAATTTTGAGTAACATCATGTACTGAATTAGATACAGATTTAGGTACAGATACAGATAAGTAGGTAAAGAGAGGCAGCTGCAGGTGCATATGTACATAGCTGTAGATGCCGATACAAAGGCAGAGCTACTTAAATAGCATAGTTCAAAGTCAAGATGAGGAACTGGAGTGGACTCTGTTCCATGTAAACTTATTTTAAGTATCGATTGAATAGTACAAACTCTGAGAATGAGTTGCCATATGCAGGAAATAACACTTATAATTGAGACATTTCATCAACTAAAGGGATTACTTATACAACTTTATAAATGGCATGATAAAATTGTCATTGGTGTGAAAATTGCCAAATATCCCATGGCTACGGTCATTGTTTCATAGGTGACTTGGAAACGAAACGGGCACATGCTGCCAATTATAGACCACAATGGCGAGAGCTGATCAAAGTGAATAGTTAGGAACGCGATGAGGATCTATATCGGCTTTTAAGACGATGACGAGCGCACAGCAATACTCGTAGTAGCTGGGCTGCATTCATCAATGATGGTGATGTCCTGCTGGATCCTATCCCATCCCTATCCCGCCGAGCTGCTAAGTACTCGCAGTTGGGTCTACGCTATTGTTGTGTTGTGAATCAATACAATCATTTTCCACCTTTAATGATCTTGAAGTGTGTATTCGTGTTCGACGACCGTTTCGTGTCATGTCGTTACAAATGAAAACAATTATTGATGTTGAAAGCCGAAGTCGAATAAAAACAAACAAAAGCCTTGGCATTTTGTTCTACTCATGTCGGACACACACTCGTATTCACACACTCGTATTCACACATTCACAACACACAAACATAGAACCAAATGAGCCTCTTTAGCGGCTGTCGGATTCGGGTCCGGATCCCAGGCCTTCTGCTACTGCTGCTGCTGCTGCTCATGCTCCTGACCCTGTCCATTCTTTTGCGACAAGGGGAAGTCTCCCTAATCGGTCCAGAGTCCCCTAGAGAGTACTGGTCTGCAAACTACTGGTCTGGTCTGCCATTGTTTTGTTTGCCGACTGATTTGTGTTGCAATTACATTGTTAATCCCATTGGCAAGATTTTCTCGGCTATTGTGTAGCTTGTCACTTTGGTAATTCATATTTTTTACATTCATTGCACACACGGCTGATGCTGATGCAGCAGAGGTTTCTATTTTTGGAAAATACTCTTAACTAAAACGTTTCGTTTGATTGAATTTGCATAGTGTATCTCAAGTTTGTACGTGGATAACTTGCAAACAATTTCTAGGCTAAAATATAATTTAAAAATATACATATATATAATATCACCTCACTATTATTTCTGTGCAGTATGTATTTCGAAGTGGCAGACGACAGCCGATAAAGCATCCTCCGTGTGCACTTAAACCGCTTAGAGTTTCCCACGAATTCACTCTAATCTTCGACATGGGTTCGTCGTCGGTAGTCCGTACATTGCTCCACAAAATGACCCACAGTCAATACATAGGAAAGTGGTCTTTTAGAGGGGGAAAAATGGGGATTGTAACATTTAAATCGTATAAAGAGTTTCTTAAAGACATCGAAATTTTATTGAAGATCGATACAGCGGTGCTTATCGGTTATCTATCAAACATAAATAGGTATATTTGTATGTATATAAAGGTACAATACAATATTATGCATATAACTCGTAAAAGAAACAAGAAAGGCTCTCGGATTAGCCCCTTGTCAATTTTTAGCCTGCTGTCCTTCTTACTCGACCAGCCCAGCTATGCCATGCATTTACTGCTTGGCTGGTTTCGTTTCTTTCGTTACCAATAAAGTAGTAAATTGATACGCAGATTTAGGGGATTTTCTATCAATCAGTACTCGGAAATTTGTTTGAAATCCATTCTTATGCTTGGCTTGAACCCCAAGTGGGACCTTTTTTTGCCTTTTGATTTTTATTTTGTTGCTTTTTGGGTGTATGCATATTCTTGCCTTGTCTCAGGTCTTCACAAAGGGTTGTCCTCGTTCAAAATGAATTGTCAAAACTTAAGAATTCAGGCCATCGAATACAAATTGAGATGCTAAAAACCGATATATTGGCACAAAAAGTTTCTGAAGTGCTTTAACATCGAAGTGGACCGAAATCAGGTGGACCCGACGTCCGAGTATGTTGACGTTTTCTAAAGTGTGCCAAACCGAATTATCTGCTTCATTGCCACATTATCTGCATCATACTTTACATATGTATATACATGCGGCCATATCTAAGCATCGCATCCGATTGCGGGCAACGGCGGAAAGGAAAGAAAAGTTGCCTTCGTAGGTCGAGGCTATGAGGTCGTTAGTTAGTTATACATATATATGTATATAGGTAAGATTCTTTTTCACATATACATATAAATACATACACATACATATACAAATATGTACATATATAAAATATATGGTACACATTACTGTACAACCTGTGAAGTTACGAATTAAGTTATGATTTAGTGTAGTGCGAAACTGACAGAAGATGAAAAGTAGAAATATTATTAAACATCAATATGTCTGTAGGAGCACCTGGATCTACGTCTAAATAAACAGTATGTGATTTGATTAGGCTGTAAACTGCAGCAGAGTTCAAATTAATTAAAGGCTTGTATTCGTTGTGTTCCGTGATGGTCTGTTCCGTGGATTGGTGTGCGGTCCTTCAGTTCTTTAACCAGCAAGTGCATCCAAAAGTATGTATGTATCTTCTTCTATATTTACAGGTCACAGTGGAGTAAACCAGCTGGGCGGTGTTTTTGTTGGTGGACGACCATTGCCTGATTCAACGCGCCAGAAAATTGTTGAGCTCGCGCATTCCGGAGCTCGGCCATGTGATATTTCTCGGATTCTACAAGTTTCTAATGGATGCGTTAGCAAAATTCTAGGCAGGTAGGTGATATGCAAACCTCGAGAGATTTTTCTTCATGGCAGTTTCTTTTCCCATCAGTTCGTAAGTTGTTATCATTAAAAACGATTAATTATACTATGTAATATGGTCAATTATTAATTTTGACTCATTTTTGCAATTTATTCTCCATCATTCAACCATCATCTAATACTAATAATGATTAATTCCAGTTAGAATATATTAATATTTGTTAAATTGTTGTATTTTATTAAAGTGGAGATTTTGAGTCGAAAATTGCCGAGTCGGATGGCACGTTTTGGTTTGATCTAATTTAGTGCAGTTCAAGCTATATTCAAGATTAACTATTATGGATAATGGGATAAAGATTTTGATTGTTTTATTTCAGATATTATGAAACCGGAAGCATTCGACCACGCGCCATCGGTGGATCCAAGCCACGGGTCGCTACGGCTGAAGTCGTTAGCAAAATTTCGCAATACAAACGCGAGTGCCCGAGCATTTTTGCCTGGGAAATTCGAGATAGATTACTGCAGGAGAACGTTTGCACCAACGACAATATTCCAAGTGTAAGTGTACTAAATCTAATGTATGTATATACATGCGTGTAGATGCTACAGCAACTACTGCATAATGTTATGGTAGTTACTGTAATTGCTTTAGTTATTAAGGCTTTATATTCTCGGTATGACTATGACAATTTGTATCACTTGGATTTCTTTTTATTTTCGATTTCCGACGCCATTTGCTGTTCTCTGGCATTAACATTTTCCATTCGTATTTTTTTTTATTGTTTATTAAGTATGCCAGAAAAAAGAAGAAAGAAAGGCAAAATGAATTGTGACAGCGATGCCGATGGCCGCTGATGGTGATGTCCTGCCTTGCCTGCCTTGTACTTTTCCCCATTGACAGTTGTGTGGAAAATGTGCTCGTTCAAATGGAAGGGAAAATCTTTTATGCACATTAAACGACAAAAAGGGAAATCAGTGCTAGAAAAATGTACGAAAAAATACAATATTAAATAAATACGGCCCGCCGCCACCACAAACCGTTAAGCGTTGAAATTCACGCGCCAGTGCGAGGGGGAACCGGAATCGGAATCACGTTGCTGAATCACGTCCATGCTCGGTGTTCGGCGTTCGGAATCGGGGCGAGAAACGGCCGATTGGCCAAATACGAGTTCGGATTCGAACAGCAAAATCGTCGGGGGGTGAAAACTCAAGCAGTTTCGCTTGGACACGGAACGGCTGAAAGGCCCTTGCCACTTCTCTCCCCCCCATCCACAGGATACAGCTCCTTTCTGTTGACGGCTGTTGTTCTCCGACGAGCGTTAAATCTTCCATTTCCTTGCTGCGCTGCACTTGTTGTCCAAAGAAATGACTGCTAGAGATTACTTAGCTTTAAGCCCAGATATTTTAAGTTGCACTGCATCATAGATATGGGATGCAGAAAGCTCCAAAGTAGCAAAGTTGTTATGGTGTATACAGAAGTAAATATGTCCGAAGTAGGTAGAAGGATGTACAATATACTTATGTGCATATATGTATGTATATGTACCGATGCATATACATACATACATATGTATGTATGCGAGTACGTACGGATTCGGGGACGGTGCTCATTTTAAAAATAAGTTTTTATGCGAACGTTCACTGCGAGCGTTGTACCCCCTGAAAGGACATTCTGCCTAATTTTTCCACTCAACTGCACTTTCCCCTGTTGTTCTTTCTCACTCGCTCGCTCATTTATATGTTTGCTCGTTTGTTCTTTCGTTTCTTTCGTATTTTTCCTTTCCTTTTGAATTCGTTTGAAAAGCGTTGTCAAGCGCAGGCACAGCCTTAAAATAATAAGGACGAAAAAATATTCCTAAACCCCCAGCCAAATGTCAGCTGCTGCTGCCAACTGAAAAAGGTAAAGTTAAAGCTTTTTCTGGTACTGACTCACTAGAGTTCTTCGAGTCGTAATCTGACTCTAACCCAAAGTCAACTCCGCAGATTTTACTCGTATGTACATACATATGTACAATGTACAAACTGTACCTAATGAACAAATATGGACACAGATGTTAATGTAACACAAACCATTTTACTATATTTCCATTACTTTATTACAATATTATTCGGTATTATATCAGTATCATTTCAATATTCCCAAAACAAACAAATCAAACTCTATATATCACTTTAGGTTTCATCGATAAATCGAGTATTAAGAAACTTGGCGGCACAAAAGGAGCAACAAAATTCCGGAACGAGTAATTCAAGTACAAACACTAGCACCAGCGCCAATCCTACAGTAAATGTAAATGGTACTGCTACCAGTGCGCAGAGCCAGAGTGGAACTAGAACCACACTGAGCTCGGGAGGCGACTTGATGCAAACAGCCACGCCTTTAAACTCTTCCGAAAGCGGCGGAGCCAGCAATTCTGGCGAAGGCAGCGAACAGGAGTCTATTTATGAGAAGCTCCGTCTCCTCAATACTCAGCATGCAGGTGGATCGTTGGATCCAGCCATAGCCATCTCGTCACCGAACCATTTTGGAACCAATCCCCATTCCAGTCATACCCAGCTGGTGCACAGCCAACAGCACCAACAGGTATCGCAGCTTCAACAGGCAAGCTGGCCTCCACGCCATTATTCAACTGGATCCTGGTACACCTCCCCTCTAAACGGCAGTGAAATACCGATCCCAGTGTCATCCGGCTCCAGTATGACTTCAGTGGCTGTATATGCCCCAGGTTCAACGACATCTCAGCCCTTGAGTCCACCCAATTTAGCCGGCGGTGGGAACCACAACCACTTGAGCAACTGCCCCATGACCACTGACGACATTCTTCTAAAAAAAGGTGAGCTTTACTTAATATTCACATACTTTATGTAGTATAGTCATATAGAAGGTACGTTATGATGGAATGTAGTAACTCATAAAGTTGTGATATACATACATATGTATGTATGTAGTAATGCGACTATAGACTATATACTATAATACAGTTGTTTAGCCGATTCTTCCAATGGAAAATGAGAATATAATGCAGTGATAGTTGAAAATGAAAATGTGTTATATACAATTCATGCCGTTATGTACATATGTATATACCTTTCTTTGAACCAGACAAAAAGCGGCGAAACTAAATTTAACTGAAAATGCGCACGAACGAGCTGAAATAACTACCGATTGCATTGGGAAGACATTTACATATTTGCTTTTGCAGATATGCGATGCTTCATACGAGTATGACCCGTTTTATTTCCGTGCCGTGATTGTCCAAAACTTGGCGATTGACAATGTCTTAGGCGTGTCGTGTCGTGCGTAAAAACCTGAGACACGTGACAGACAATTGTTTCTGTCTACACACGCATGGGATGTGGAAATGCGTTCTACCATCTACCATCCAGTGTATATTATCAATATCGAGAATGAACCGTATCGAAAACGACCAGAGATTACAAAATTTTCGGTTAATATCCCAAAATAAAATGTTAAAAATTAAAATTTTATTGTATGATTTTTTAATCTTTTGCTTAGTTTTATGGTATTGTGTAACAAGAAAGTAAGTCAATCTTCTGGTGTTTCCGATTTGTGTGCGCATCGATCGTTTCTTTAACTTTAACGAGCGTAACTGAGGTATGAATATATATCACTGCGGCTGGTAACTGGCATCTTCTGAATTCCCATTCTTTGAATACCAGAGATCGTCGCGTACGCGACGGAAAATGTTATTGTATTAGTGCCGATAAGTATTGTACATTGTACGTGTAGCGGCACTTCATCAGCACAACAATCCCACCAGATAGGACCGTGCGATTTGTACGCGATTTGTGTGCGCAGAATACTTTAAAGATACCCTTCAAGGGTACATCAACTTCAGGGCTCCGAAGTTAGCTTCCTGATTCCTGGTTCTTACTCTTATTTATTCATTTAATTATAAATCATCTGTTAATTATTAAATAAAATATTAACAAATAAGTTGAAAGACAAAACGTTTAACATTTTGACTATTGAAGATATTGGTACTTGAATATTATACATAATTAACATAAGTGGCACCGACTGATGACGCCCATCATACTCGTATTCGGACTTATTGATCGACTGCTGTTCCTATGGTTCACACTATTGATTTCCAATTGGATGAGATCTGTGTAGTTGGATACAAATGCTTTTGATTAGCTGTAATCTGATAATCAGAGCTTTGACTATACCTAGACTATACGAGTACTTCGACCGAGAATACTATTTTGCTTAATAGAATGAATCCAGTTTTGATAACAAAACACAACACAGACCAACCGCAGACAGTGTGTCAAAGCTGTAACTGTAGCGTGAGTTACTCTTACTCCTGCTCCTCCTTAACCCCCCTTGCAGAGCAAGTATAATCCGTAGCTATCGGGCAACCGCTGACGTTGCCGCTGCCGTGCTTGACAGGTTTACCCTTAACCGTGTAGTTTGCTTTAATGCGATTTACAGACTCATTTTACAGGCGATGACACTTCATTAAACGGGAAACCGTGAGGGTGGCTGTGGCTGTGGTTGGAGATGGAGATGGGTTCAGGGTCGTGATTGGGGTGGGGTTTTGGTTGGTTCTAAGGTGATGCTGTTGCTGATGATGGGGTGCATAAATAGAAAACAGAAAATACATATTTATAAAATCGTATTTGAAATCCTCATACTAGAGCTCTTGCCTTATCAAGTTTTGTCTTTAATGTATTTAGCTGTTTGAGTGTCACTTCGTTGTCCTCCAACTCGAGCCCAAACTCGAACTCATCCTCTTCCCACATCAGTCCCGGTATCCATCCCCTTTGCACCGTTTCCCTTCACCGTCGTAGCCGTCGCAGTGTTTAAATCCCGAGTTGCTCGACATCGCTCGACATCTACCGTCGTCTGTCATTGTTGCTCTGTTGCTGCCTGTCAGAACATTGCAACTTTATAGGCAAGTGACATGTGCTCTGGAGTGATCCAGAGCAGGCCAGCCTTTGGCGCTGGCCCGACCATATCCAGCGGCAAGTCTGTTGGCTATCAGCATCTATTTGCACTGTCACATTCAGTAACATTAAGCGCCAATTACACACGAGCCATTGACGTATCTACATACAAATACATATACCCTTAGACCTTTTACATTGAATTGGTCATATAAAATGTGACAAGCCGAGAGCCCCTTCAAATGTTAGCGGCCTCTTTGATGTGACCACTAATGCGGCTCGCAATAGAACTGCTCGACACAACAATGCCTGTCCTTACCTATACGCTTGCAAAGGGTGTTGTGATTTTGACTAAATTCTTGATACGCCTAAAGAATCCTCATCAATCAAAATTCATAGACTATATATATATGTACATATGTATAAGTCAGAGCCAAGACTGTATACATATGTATATAGCTGCTTCGTTCGAAGAAAAACTTTTCTTTTACCTGCAGAGAATTCAACTAAAATGTAAAAATGTTTATTCTTTAGATATTTTATACATTTATCGTCTATTCCTTAATGTGCATAATCGATAGTTTAATTATTATACCCGATACTCAAAATGAGTATTGGGGTATATTAGATTTGTGGTAAAAGTGGATGTGTGTAACGTCCAGAAGGAATCGTTTCCGACCCCATAAAGTATATATATTCTTGATCAGCATCAATAGCCGAGTCGATTGAGCCATGTCTGTCTGTCCGTCTGTCCGTCCGTCCGTCTGTCCGTCTGTCCGTCTGTCCGTCCCCTTCAGCGCCTAATGCACAAAGACTATAAGAGCTAGAGCAACAATGTTTTGGATCCAGACTTCTGTGATATGTCACTGCTACAAAAATATTTCAAAACTTTGCCCCGCCCACTTCCGCCCCCACAAAGGGCGAAAATCTGTGGCATCCACAATTTTAAAGATACGAGAAAACAAAAAACGCAGAGAATGACCATATCTTTTAGACTGCAGAATCTGAATTGGATCGTATTACTATTATAGCCAGCATCAAGAAAACAATTTCATTTTTTCTCGCCCTGTCTCTCTCTAACACACAGGTAGCATAGGCGGCTTTGCTTAGAGTAAAACATTAGCGCCTAGATCTCAGAGACTATAAAAGCTAGAGCAACCAAATTTGGTATCCACACTCCTAATATATCGGACCGAGACGAGTTTGTTTCAAAATTTCGCCACACCCCCTTCCGCCCCCGCAAAGGATGCAAATCTGGGGATATTCACAAATCTCAGAGACTATTAAAGCTAGAGTAACCAAATTTGGTATCCGCACTTCTGTTAGATCTCACTATAAAACCTTTATCTCAAAATTTCGCCCCACCCCCTTCCGCCCACACAAAGGACGAAAATCTGTTGCATCCACAATATTGCAGATTTGAGAAAACTAAAAACGCAGAATCATAGATAACGACCATATCTATCAGATTGCTGAATCTGAATCAGATCAGATCATTTTTATAGCCAAAGGAAACAAATCAATTTGCAGTGGCTACGCAGCGCGTGACGTCACGCTCAGACTGATTTTCTGTCTCTCTCGCACGCACTCTTTGTCGTGTCGTTTAATATTAGCGGCGTCTGCCGGAGGAAAGCCATACTGACTTAGTATCGGGTATAACTGTAGAGTTGCGGTGTCCGCAGCAACTCACAACGTTCCCCCTCGTTTATATTTCAACTCAATCTAAACTCAACAATAGTTGCACATAAATAGGTAGAGAAAACAATACATTTACACAAATGGATGACAGGATGGCGTATCTGACGCATATACTATGTATACATACATATGTATGAACATTTTGTACAAACTTATCGCCTGCTTTACACTCGGATGCCCATCTGCAATATTGCATTATTACTTTCTGATTTTGTGCTTAGAGTGCACAGTGATTGCCGGACCGACCAATTGTTCAGCTTTTCCTGTAACTAATCGAAGATGGAGAGCCAACTGTTTTGTACTATCATACATAGATTAGTGTATCTTTTAATTAGCTTACCTTTTCGGGGTTTGGATCAGAGGCAATAGAGAGCTCAGGGGCGAGTCCATGGCTGTGAGAATTGTTTAGCGAATGGGAAGCATCGAGCTGCTACCGATAGGTGCATAGATGAGTAGATAGGAATTTATAAATATAGGAAGGACGCTTCTTAGTTTATCGTCCTTCCCACCGAGTTGCACAACCAAATTATGAGTGGCTATGAGACTCTTAGCAATCATAGTCATTATTTATTTATTTATTAAAGACGTGGGCGTTCTTATTACTTTAAGATGGAATATTTTTTCTCAGCCGGTTCAAACTTGAAGGTATTTGTCTCCTAAGGAATGCTATGCCTATGTTGTAACTATGTACATATGTATATCTTTTCATATTTTATGTAAGCCTGTAGTTGTATACTATATATATCTTTACTTTATGAATTTGGCAGAGCTTGACGGACATCAGTCGGATGAAACGGGTTCCGGTGAAGGGGAAAACTCCAATGGCGGCGCCTCCAATATTGGAAACAGCGAGGATGATCAGGCTCGCCTAATACTTAAACGGAAACTGCAGCGTAACCGCACTTCCTTTACAAATGAGCAGATAGATAGCCTAGAAAAAGGTAAGCGCAGTTACACTCATTCTAAATATAGCTCATTGTTCTAAAGCACATTTCGCAATTCAAACGACTTCAGGGTATGGACTTTGACCCATTTAATAAGCCTGATTCTCGAAGAGTACTTGCTATAATACATATGTACATATGTATGCTCTTACAAGTTTTACAGAAAAAAGTTGCAGATGAAACAAACGGTAAAAAATACGTCTTTTGAAAAGGTGCTGCTTGACTTTGAAGATTATCAAACTAATCTCTAAAATTTGGGGCTTAATACCGGTAAAAATACAATGTTGCCACAGTTTGTAATGTGTTGCTAGGGGGATTACACTATACAAATTTATCGCAAGTGTTTGAGTTATAGGTTGATGAAAACGCGTGCAAATAGTTCATAGTGTATTTTTCTTATTTCTCAGAGTTTGAACGCACACATTATCCGGATGTTTTTGCTAGGGAACGCTTGGCTGGTAAGATCGGTTTGCCGGAGGCAAGAATACAGGTTTGGTTTTCAAACCGTCGTGCTAAGTGGCGCCGCGAAGAGAAGTTACGAAATCAGCGCAGGACACCAAATTCTACGGGAACAAGTGGAACTTCGTCTTCAACTTCAGCAAATGCGTCTTTAACCGACAGTCCTAATAGTCTCGGGGCTTGCTCCTCGTTGCTATCGGGCAATTGTCCCTCAGGAAGTAAGTCCGTTTTAAGTGCACTACAAATACGAGTATATTGAATAAAAATCAATCCTATTTATCCAGACACAATCAACGGGTTAGCGTCGCCAAACACGCTGTCTACGCCGGCCGTGGGTGGTGTTGAAAGCACTGACAGTCCCACACCAACGCTGCATCTAAGATCCGTTGGAAACTCCGACAGTGCTGGTGGGCAACCACAAGAAGATGGCAGCGACGCTTGTTCGCCTGGCCTAGCGATCTCCGGGCAACATAGTACCCATCATCACCTTGCACATGCCCATGCCCATGCACATTCGCATCCGCATACGCACACTCACTCGCACGCTCTTCCTGCCATTTCGCCGCGCCTAAATTTCAATAGCGGAAGTTTCAGCAGCTCTATGAGTGCGATGTACTCGAATATGCACCATCCCGCATTGTCGATGGGAGATAGTTACGGGTACGAGTACATTAATTAAACCTGTGTTTAGTTTAAATACTGCCTAGAGGAGCTACCGTTTAAAGACTTCTTTGAAATGCAAGCAGATCTAGGTCTTGCTTGCCACAGAAATGTATATATTTCATAGCGAATGATGGATCAGCATCATTACATTTGTAGACTGTAATATCCTTCAAGCGGTCACCTAATTTACCAATCTAATCTACCAACCTAATACTATTTGTGTTTACTTTGTGGTATCGGTAACTTCATATATTATTTTTCTTTTGCAGTTCTATTACACCAATGCCAAGCTTCAGCCATTCATCGGTGGGACCTCTGGCCCCTCCATCGCCCTTATCACAGCAACGCGACCTTACGCCCCCTTCGCTGTATCCGTGCCACATGACCCTGCGACCACCACCGATAGCTGGGCCACATCATCACCTATCTCCGAATGATGCTGGAAACAGCGCTAATGTACATTCATCGAATTTGGGAGCAAGCAACAATGGAACCGGATACGAGGTAATCTCCTCATATGGCTTAGCACCACCGCCGCTGCCATCTGGTGGTGCAGCTGATGGCAGTTCGTCCGCCACCGCCAATATCGCCGTTTCTTCTCATCAAATTATGGAGCCACGTCAGTCCCCTTGCAGTCCACAGCATTTGGGAGCTTCTATTCACAGTTCTGGATTTGCTACCGAGGCAATTTCGAGCGCTGTTCCTTCATACGCGCACATGAGCTATAACTATGCGACGGCTGCCAATAATGTGCCTCCCTCTGGCGGTGGCAACCCAGTACCTGGTCTCAATTCACATGGAGCCAGTGGAAAGCAACAGTTTTTTGCCTCTTGTTTCTATTCACCTTGGGTCTAGAGCTAGACGCATGTAGGGAGATTTAGAAAGAGATAAAGACAAATAGATTTTTTGATTATCCTTAAGGGCTCCCTAAAATAAATCGAATTTACATATCTCTAACAAATTTATGGAGGTTGTAGAAAAATGTATTTATTACATAGTTCCGGCCAAGGATTCTAACTTATACGCGTAGAATAATTGGTGTGATTAAATGATCTAATTTTAACAAATGAATATCAAATCTTTTGTAACTACTTATGCCCTCATTAATCCATCCTTAGTCGGGAAATATTCTTACAATGGAGTAAGTAGTCAAAAAATACAACACGGAACCCAAACTATATTTTTCAAAAGTGGTAAATAAAAAAAATAGTTTGATCTTAAAAGTTATTTTGGTAAGACTAGACTAGATAATTATTTAATTTTCTGTTTATCAGTATCAGAAATAATTTTCCTGACGAAGAAAATTTTCTATGATGGAACATTTTTAAAAGAATAAACTGAACATTTGATATTTTACAGAAAGAAATATTTTGTAGGAATTGGTATAATACATACTCATAGTTGAGTTGACATATGTAGGTATGTGTGTTTACCTAATGTGTGCTTAGATATGTCTGAAAATATTCCTCAAACTGAAATGTCTCAACTTATGATATTGTGCATTTAATCCACATTCTCCTCGTATTTTTGTATAAGCACTGTTTTAATGTTTTATAAGTCAATTTATAGTCCATTTAGACTTTATCTATTGCTTTGCAAACATTCATTATACATATATAATTTTTTATTGAAGTCGGAACCCCTGAGTACTTCTCTTTTTTTTATTGACTTTTCAATTGCGCAATTATTGTGTCCAATTTAATTTCATTTGTTTAGCACAAGAACCCTTGTTTAAGTGAAGTTTAGCAAACATTTTAATGAAGTTGTATTCCATGGGCTGTATAGTGAAGAAAAATTTTCTGTTTGGGGCGAGCCGTTTAAGCAATTGGAATACCTCGTACTCAAGAACAATATTTCAAAGTGGTTGCTAAGAGAACGTCATTGAGCATTGAGTGTACAGGGTAAATATTTTCAAATATAATTTGTTTCATGCTCTTTTACCCTTATTATTGATTGCTCAGCGAAGAATGCTTTTCAAGCGTACTTACAATTCATCAAAATTATAAATAACTTACGAAAGAAGAATCATGTATGGAGTATCACTTGAAGAGATTGCTTGATCTTGTGTCTGTAAATGGGTAAATTTGATGGAAATTTCGAATTTGATTTCAGTGCAGGAATTGAAGTGTCCCTCCTTTCAGCAGCCTTTTATTTAGGACGAGTAAGAAAAGTAAGTAAGTCAAAGATAGTTTAGTTGGATTTTGGTGATTAGAGGTAAGAGCTAATAAAAGTCTGTGCAGAAGGTTAATAAGGGCATAAAATAACTGAGAGGTGAGTGAACCCGGAAAAGATATACATAGATGGACAGGCGTACAGATGTATACCCCAAGGATATAAATGTTACATGGGTTGTTTGGTTGAATTTCAGCGCTTTAAATAAAATACTAAACCTTATTATTTACTAAATCATTTGGGGAAAGCTAACACAAGTGCTAAGTATTTTTCTTTTTAATATGTATATGCGTTGGGACGGTGATTTTATTTACAGCCGCTCAAAATAGAATCTTTGCAACCATTAGTCGTTTAAAAATAGCACATTTTAGTGTCATAAATATAAAAACGTATTTCTATAATTATTCCTCCTCCTTAAGTATTTGTTTCTAAATCTATTCTATGACTTAGTTCTATAGTGCGGTAAGTACTTGTGATATTTGTATGACCCATACAATGGGTATGTATGCAATATTATCACACATATGGTATGTACATATGTACGTACTAATTTGAACATAAATAGGTAAAAACATTCAAATGTGTAGACACACTGCGCGCACGTACATAGTTACATATGTATGTACATATATGTATTTTTTCTTTTTAAATGAAATAGATTTGATTTTCTATTTCTCGCTGGCTTAAAGCCCACCAGATTCCACAAATCGCCATGAGGAGAACTTTAAAACAGTATGAAATACGTTTTACACCCTCGAACATTTACTGTACTATTCACACTCTTCCCTAACCATTTATACATATCTGTATAGTCTGAACGCGACAGATGACTAATCATAATGGTAAACTGGAAACAAGCTCGGGGTGTTGGCCTAAGGATGGGGCCAACGTTTTAATGGCCTTGAAATTCGATCGTTCCGATTTCTGTACAGCTGTGCAGGATACAGTGATCTGACCACTCAGGAATATACATATATATTCAATTTATGAATTCAAAAATGATACCTTCGGTATGTTGCAAACATCTGGTCAAAATCCATATACCCCCTTCACCGCTACAACGAGAATACCCCATTCTTTTGGGAAATGGGAATGCCTTAATATTTACGAGTGTTTGGCTAAAGCTTTTGGCGCCTGCGCTCTGCACCCACTGCCACTGCTGGCTGGCAGATCCGACGTATATGTCTGATGCAGATCAAGAGCACAGCACAAATTATTCGGAGCAGATAGTAATAGACTAACGCCCGTGGAGTTCGCTTCGTTTCCTCAGAAGGAATAAATTCGTGCTGCGCTCGTACTGTGTTATCTGTAGTCTAGTTGTACGTACTTACATACATAAATACATCGTTTAGTACATTGCTACATACTTATAACAAATTTAATTTGATTTTTATGCATTCGCTCATCCTGTATGTATGCATATATATGTAGTGTAGGTTTGTAGCAATCCAATTTTTGTTCCTAAAACCGTATAAAATGCCCGTTACGAATGGATATGGATATGGATATCCCATTGTGTATAATTAGACTATAGAATTTTAGAAAATGTCGGAACTTGTTTAAGAAAAGTGATCATAAAAAAAGGTCCTCTAATTCGAGACGGAGGTTAACTAAACTGAAAACTAAACGCAAAAAGATCACAGGTCGTCTACCCTGTTAGTGTGTTGGCCAGTGCATACCGATACCCGCATATGTGTGCATATATATGCATTCTTATATATATTAATATATGCATGTGATGTGTATTCTTAATTCCAATTATACATACATATGTGCACATAAATATACATATACATATGTTAATTTTAAAGCAGTGTCTGTTGGTAGCATTGTGTAACGGTGTGTTGTCGATCTTAAAAATAGACCAAAGGAAAAAATCCAATTCCCCAAAATGTAAAGAAAAATAAGAATTAGTTCATAGTCCTGCTTATGCATATGCTTGATTGTATTAGCAATCCCAATGGCAATGAAATAAAATAAAAAAAGGCCAGAGAGAGCGAAAAATATAAACTAAAGCCAATCCAATCCAATTGCCATACAAAATTAGATTGTGTGTCTTCGAATATATCACTTAAACAATTCGAAAAGTTTCTGTTCCTGCATTCTTTATGTATATTTTCTTATTTTGTGTGTGCGTGAGTTTGTGTGTGTGTGAATATCGCAGATTCTGTATTTTCCTTTATAAATATTTCTACTTTTGCCTATATATATGTACATATATATATACACTCGAACATTTCTTCACATAGAAATAGATAGATATAATCTATGTGTATGTATGTATGTACATACAGCCGGTGACTGCGAATGACTAAAAATAAACGTGCAATACATGGATTTTCGTTTGTTCAGTCAAATTTTTTCCATTAACAACATTTATGCTGAATGAGTGAAAGGCGATCGAATTTCCATTTTCCAAAATATGGTGAGACGTGCGCAACAGAATAACGCAACGTTCGTTTGCCTGGCGATATCAAGAGATGCGAAGCTGCACGGAATTCTCATTCTCACGATATGCACTATACAGATTTAAATTTTTACATACACACATATTTATATAATAAATGTATGTATGTATATAGCAGTGGTTGGTTTAAGCATAAATTAAACTGTATGTTCAATTTTGCCAATTAAATCTTATTCGAAACTCTAGAAGTTATCTGAATATATCCAGTCCGTCAATTTGTTTTCAAACAACATATGTACATACGTACATACATATGTATAAAGAACTCTGCTTAACCGACTGATTTCTCAAACTGCAGCATTCGCTCCAATACTGGGAGCGCTGAAGAATTGAGTTTATTTCATTTTTTACCACTTTATACTTTTCCTAAATCTGTCATAGCGTGGTAATAGGCGATTCGAGGGTTGCATTTGTAAACTATGTATATGCTAACTATCGCATAAAAACGTGCAGATTAACAAATACCAAATGCGTGTTACAAAACCTTACGGACCATTCCAGAAATTGATGGTGAATGGTGGCCAGTGAGAATATGCCATTAGCTAGAAAGGATGATATTCGTATGAAATCAATAAGAACGATGGGGAACGGCGACCGCAACTATACATTTATACCCGATACTTAGTCAAAGAATGCGTACGAGAGAGACAGAAAGTCAGTCTGAGATTATCGTCTTTTGTGGGGGCCGATGGGAGTCGGGCGAAATTTTGAAACAAACTTGTCAAAGTCCGATATCACAGGAGTGTGAATAACAAATGTGGTTGCTCTAGCTTTTATAGTCTCTGAGATCTAGGACACCCCATTCTCAAAAAGACTATATGGGTATATAAGATTTGTGAACAAAATGGATGTGTGTAACGCCAAGAAGGAAGCGTTTTCGAGCCCATAAGGTATATAAGATTTGTGAACAAAATGGATGTGTGTAACGCCAAGAAGGAAGCGTTTTCGAGCCCATAAGGTATATAGATTCTTGATAAGCATCAATATCCAGGCGATAAAGACAAGTCTGTCTGTCCGTTTTTTTTTTTATTTTTTTATTCTGTATTAACTCCTTAATTTAATGAAATTTTATAAGCCTAGGACTTAACTATAGCTGATTGGTAATACTAAGCTGTGCTAGAAAGGAAGCTGTGAGCTGAGTTGTGGCGAACAGCAGGAAGTTCCGGGTCTCTGAGGGACGGCCGCAAAGCAATGCTTCGCAGGGGCCATGGTTCCTCCTAGCCACTCTCGTTCCTTCGGCGCTCGCACCTACGCAGTCACCTCGATCAAGTTGTTCGGCGTGAGCTGTCTGTCTGTCTGTCCGTCTTTGTAGTGGCTACGCATCCTCTCTCCCTCTCACACAGGCCATACTGACTGAGTATCGGGTATAAATGTAAAGTCGAGTCGTGGCCGTAGCTGCGACTCAGAACGTCCCCGAGTCGATAGAGCTACATATAAGAGCTGTTTATAAGCAACGAAATTTTGTATCCACTTCGGTGATATCTCACAGATGTTACGCCCACTTCGGCCCCCAAAGGACGAAACGCAAAATCATAGAGAATGTTCATATCGAAGTATCGGGTTCGGGTATAAATGTAGAGTTGATTTGGATACGGTTTCCTTATAATTGATAACTAAAAGATCAGAAGGGAGTACTTCTATATTAGCCGCTATAATTGTGGCTTGCGGCTAATTTTCTTACTGTAGCTATTCCGATCTGATCAAATCTATACATTCTTGATCAGTACTAGCACACAATTATATTTCCATTTTCGCAATATCCATATAACAACACCATGAGTGGATAGCCATAGGAACGCTATAAGAGGCTTTGAGAGGAAAGCATTAATAAAAATATAATATATTATTTAATTTTCTCTAACAGTAAGAGTATATTTTTTACGGTATATTGATAAGTATATTTTGTATTAATTTCTCCAGAGCTTAAGAGCCAAAGCCGTTGAAGACGAAGCATAACGAAAACCCTCAGCATGGGGGTGGCTGAAGATTTCGCTCCCAGCTTTGTCAAAAAGCCACAGCTGCATCAGGAAGATGATGGCAATCGATTGATATTTGAGTGCCAGTTATTGTCATCTCCGAAACCGGACATTGATTGGTTTCGTAGTGACAACAAATTAGTAGAAGATGGCCGGACCAAATTCAAAATTCAACCCGTTGGAGATAATAAATTTACGGTAGTATTAGAGCTCGACGATGTAGTAGAAACCGATGCGGGCCTTTATAAAGTCAAGGCCAAGAACAAGTCGGGCGAAGTATCTGCATCAATTAACTTAAATTTTACGCGTAAGTAGTACTTTAGATAGTAAACATAATCGTATCATAGATATGATGCGGAGATATCTACAAAGACTTCTTTCATAAAACAAAACAAACCAATTTCCGGTGAGAGTGGCATACACAGCTCACAGCTACACAGTGCAGATTCATTGTATGAATATTTCTGCACCCCAAAAAGGAAGCACACATACATATGTATGTATGTACTGTACGAGTAGTATACTTTATGTATAACCCATACTCAGACAAGACATCAAGCTAAATAAATACCAAAATACAATTAGATGAGAGATTTATTAATTCTTTACTTGAATTGTTTTTGAATAATTCACTTTTTTTTATTTTCTGGCGGTCTTACTCTATTTAGCTGCCGACGAACCTAAAGAAAAGTAAGCCAAGCTTAATGAACTATCAATAGTCTGCCTTTGCTGCCTAATGATCATAAATTGTTGCTACGCTTACGCTGCCCCCCTCAGAAACTTTAATCTCAAAATCATTTCAGAATTCAAGTAACACGAGTAGTTCAGTTTTAACCGAATCATAAAAGTAATCCTGTCGTCAGCTATACGACATACAAATGAATTAAGTCAGTGGTGCCCATGAGTCTGTTATGATATATTTAATGCAAATAGGTTGATCCTCACGCACGAATAAATTAACATAATTTCTTTACTATCAATAAGGAGCTGGAAAAGTAAAAGTCAAATAAAAAAAATTCATTTATTTCGAATATTTAGACTTTCATCATATTTGTATTGAATTATTTTAAGCTGTGATTTAAGCTTTAAATATTGGCTGCAAATGATCCTTGCCCACTTTGCATTGAAGGCATAGGATATGATGTATGGGAAATAGAACGTGCCAGTCTATGCACAAGTGTTAAAAAAACAGCATCATAATTAAGTAGGTATTTGTGGGGACCACTGACTTAAAAAATTTTGACAAAGTGTCTCGGAAAAATGTATCCTTTTCTGTACCTCGACATAAAACTAATTGTTGAATCCAAAAGGTCAGGAATAATCGCCCAGAGAGGATCAGTTGCAGTAAACTTCGAGGTACAGAAAGCTGGAATTTTTTGCATGCAGCTATACGAGGCATTTTCAATAAAGGCTTACATTTTCGACAGATTTTTGCATGACAGAATGCCTCAAATTATGAACTTTTCTTTATTTTTTCCTTTCTATAATGCTCAATATACTAATTGGGGGGTTTCGTTCGGTCTATGTTAACAAGTGGGTAAGTTTTCACTACTTGAAAACGAAGGGTGAGTAAAAAACCATCATTAGATTGAATTGTGACTAAAGTAGAGTTAAAAAGTGGAAGTCTAGTCTGTAAAATCTAGGTTTCAGATCATTCATTTCCATTTCCATCTGAGCCCGGTTGCCTATCCCACTGTGTAGGTCTGTGAACATCATTTACTAATCTGGTCAATCTCTCTCTTGATCTCTGTGTAAGATATTTGTGTCTAATGTTCTTCCCTTCTCCATCTTCTAATTGCTCGCTTTTTTGCATATTTTGTATTGTTATCGTAATCGTTTTACAAACTTAATTCAATTGGACATTTCCTTACTCTGCAGACAAATCGACGGTTTCGCGCCGACATTCGCGAAAAAACCCGCCATACGACAGGAAGAAGATGGCAAACGCCTCTTATTTGAGTGCCGCGTCAACGCAGATCCCTTGCCAAACATTACTTGGTTCCACAATGGAGCAGAAGTCAAGGAATCGCCACGGCACAAGGTATGGCAGAATTGAGTACTTAGTATTTCAATTGAAGAAACAAAACCTCGCCGGATAGCAAGAGCAGAACCCATATTCAATACACTCCCTTTTTACCATTTATAAAGCTCACTATTGACAAGGACGTCCACTCATATTTTGCAACACTTGAGATACAAAATGTTACAGTTGAGGATGCTGGCAAATACAAAGTGAATGCAAAAAACGAATTGGGTGAAAGCAATGCAACAATAAGCCTCAACTTCGACAGTAAGTGGTTGTTATTATAAGCCACGACACAGTGAATTCATCTTTTCTCCATTATTCCATTTAATTTGTTCACACTAATTGCAACGAGTACCTTTTGCCATAAGTAATTCGCTATTTTCAATATTTCGCGATACATACAATACATTTGCATACATACATACTTACTTACTATACAATTGGGGAAAGTGCACAATCGAAAGTGATCTTACATGTCGATATCAATCATATCGTACATCGAATATGTGTTCGGCATATTATCAAGTAGTTTCATTTCATAAGATCTTATTCGTTTCCCAACGGGCTTACATATATAATTGTATAAATATATTAATGTGCAATTGCAGATGGCAATGCTCAAACACACCATAGCAATTATTTTTAATCGTTCTGAGCTCGCTTTGCTAATTTTATAATTTGATACTCATTCAAATTATTTTTACTGGATTTGGAACATCAAATGTTTTTTGTTACTGAGTTTTGTTTAAGCTGCAGCTATTTATTTTATTACTAATCGAACTAGAGTTCGTATCTATTTAGAGCGGTATTTTCGTGTGCCTTTCCAAATAAAGTACATACCATATATGTATGTACATACATATGTATATATTTTAAAACAAAAAAGAATTGAAGTTCAGAAATTCTTTTAGGGACGTATGAATGCCAAGACGTTGAATTCACGTTGAATTCAAATCTCGTACTACTCGTATTTTAACTCGTATAAAGAAATTACTATGAATAATCTATTTTTATTGTACTCATATGGCCAGAATGGAGCTTGCTGAAAAAACAGTGAAAGTTCGAACAAAAAAGAAGGTATCCTTTTGGATATTTGAACGATGAATTAAGTAATAATTAACACCTGACCAGCCCTGCACTGACCAGTAGACTACTCGTATACTCGTATTTATTGGAGCTTGGTCTACTTATCATATGTAAATTATGTAACACGGAAACTTCAACTTCAACTTCATAGGCGACGAAGCACCCGTACCCGCAAGTGCCGAAGGCATAAAGCCAACCTTTACCGAACGACCTGTAATCCGTCAAAGCGAAGATGGGGGAAATGTAACATTTGAGTGTAGATGTGTCGGAGATCCCACGCCTACAGTGACATGGTACGGATATAAGTGAATAATATTCATGTTTGCACACACAAGCACACGCACACACACACAGGAATACGTATTACGTAAACTAAACTATGGAACTGATTGAACATGGAACCGAACTCCATTTGATATTAGCCATTTTTGTGTGGTAGATGATCCTAACACAATTGCAAACTGAATTAAATACTCAATTATATCAGAATCCTTTGTTTATATTCAACTATTTTCTTAATGTGCACAAAGGTCCCATGGAGAAACTGTGCTGAGTGAGGGCAAACGCTACAAAATGTCATTAACAATGGATCAGAAACTTTATCATATGGCATGTCTTGAGATTAGTAGTGTTGTCTCCTCGGACCAGGGTGAATATCGGGCGCAGGCGAAGAATAAACACGGCCTTGGCGTCGCTACAATAAATTTAAATTTTGAAAGCGGCTCAAAAAAGTAAGCCTCAACAATTGTAGATAATCAAATGTATCGATCGATAGTTCTTCTACTACTACTTCTAACTCTATGCAGAATCCCTGATGGCAAGTCGCCACGATTTCCAAAAAAACCAACAATCCGCCAAGAGGAGGACATACTCATCATGGAATGCATATTGGAAGCACATCCAGTTCCGGACATTATCTGGTATTGTTCTGATAAGGAAATCTCTGATAATAAAAGAACCAAAATGACCCGCAAGGCCATAAGCAAAGATAGTTACATTCTTACTCTGGAGATCCAAAATCCCACAAAAGAGGACGGAGGCAACTATCGCTGTAACGCCATAAATATGTATGGAGAAAGCAATGCAAACATAGCGCTTAACTTCCAAGGTACTACTTATTCGTATTACATCTTCTAAAATACTTATTTCCTACAATTACAATTACAATTAAAATATATACAACCTCCTTGTACAACCAAAACTGTATGTACTTTACCATAGTGTAACCCAAAGAAAAAAGGAAAAAGAAGGAAAAATTCAAGAATGAAATGTGTACCAATAATACATAATATTGCATTATGTTTTTATCATTATGAATTCTTGCATCGCGTCCCAAAAGCTTTCTTATCATCAAGAGAACATCTTAAAGAAATCCTCCAATCTACCTCTCCATGCTAACGCTTTTTTGTAATGCACGCTAATAATTGTATCTTTGTCAATTTGTCCCAGTAGAAACTTAAGTCTGATGCCTAATAATGCCTTCAATCCTCATTTAATCTATAGCCTGCATAAAACGTATTGTTCTTGCATAAGGTTTTTAATGTTTAACCTACCTGGGTCTGATTAGAACTAGAGTTGCCCATGATTTACCTATAAAAGTCTTTCCTTATAGGATTGGATACGGATTGGATCCGTAATCCGTGTTAAGCACCTACGAATCGTGTGACTACTACAAACTGACTGCTGGATAAAAATGCCTAATATAATTACATATAATCTTATTATTAATCTTAATATATTTTCTAATAAAAGTATCATGAGCAGAATTTATTCCCCTCCCTTAATTTACTATACCGTTAATAATGGAGGACGTAAAAAAGATCCCCTAACTTCTTAGCTTGATTTTCACTAAGATTCACTCTTTCCATATCTATGTATTCACTCATGTTGCAAGACGTATATACCTAAATTATTTATGAAACGTACCGCAAAATATTTTAATGTCATTCCTTTCATTTAGGTGCTAGCGATGCCAACGGGTTCGCGCCGTCTTTCATTGAGAAGCCGAGAATAATACCGAATGAGTCGGGCACATTGATAACCATGAAGTGCAAGTGTAAGGCCAAGCCAGAGCCCACTGTCACGTGGTATAGGGGCCAGGAAGTAGTGGAGAAGAGCAAAAAGATCAAAATAAATACGACTGTTATTGCGGAGGACACTTACGAACTGACGCTGGAAATAAAGGTTCAAGTCTAAAGCTACGCTACAACAGGAAAGACTGGTTTTAACATAATTTTCAATCAATTTGTTCTCTATGCGGATAGGATCCCGGGGCGACTGATGGTGGAACATACAGATGCAACGTTAAAAACGAATATGGAGAATCAAACGCTAATCTAAACCTAAATATTGAAGCTGAACCCGAGCCCGAGGGTGAAGGGCCCACGTTCATCGAAAAGCCTCGCATTATATCCGAAAACAACGGCAAGCTTGTGATCATGGAGTGCAAAGTGAAAGCAGATCCAAAGCCAGACATCGTTTGGTTCCGCAATGGCGAGGTGATAAAGGAAAGCAACAAAATAAAAATGTCAATGGAACAGCGTGGGGACCAGTACTATATTAAGCTGGAATTGGTGGATCCTCAACTAGAGGACTCTGGCCTATACAAGTGCAACATAAAGAACACGCTGGGCGAGCTGAACGCGAACCTGACACTCAATATAGAAAGTAAGTATCAGTATAGCTAAATACCACTTTAATTGGCTTATTTTAAACATTCTCGTTATTTATTTTCTTTACTACCATGTTTTGTTCCAAGTTGTTCCTGTTATCAAAGACAAACCAAAAATTATCAAGATCATCAAAAAACGAACTGTGGTGATCGAGTGTATAGTGGCATCGAAATTCGAGCCCAAGTGTACATGGTATAAGGAAACAAACACGGTAAAGGACAGCAAGCGTCATGTTTATCTAGTAGAGCAAACCAAAGATGGCGAGTTTGCGGTCAAACTGGAAATCAACGAAGTTGAGGAAAGTGATAAGGGCGCATACAAGCTGGTAGCCAGCAACGAAAAGGGAGAGGCTGTGTCTCAGATTGTCAACCTGATTGACATTCCTGAAGAGGAGCGTAAGCCGTGCAAGCCAGAAATTGCAAGAAAGCTCGTCGATCAAAAGGTCACTGAGTCGAGAACCTTTGAACTCCTAATCACCCTGGCACAGTCTGACCGCAAGTGCAAATTGGAATGGTACAAGGGAAGTACATTAGTACGAGAAACCAAAGATATAACTACAACTTTTGATGGCACCACCGCGCGGCTCACATTCAGTAGCGCTAGGTCAGAACACACTTCAAATTACAAAGTCGTTGTGATTAACGAGGTCGGCAAGGATGAATCATCATGTAAAATCACTGTGGAGAAGAAAGACAAAAAGAAAGATGAATTGGAAAAGGAGAAGGAGAAGGAAAAGGAAAAGGAGAGAAATGAAACCGATAAAAAACAAAAGGTAATTGATTGTAAAAAACCATCTGAAAATGTACCAGCTCTAATAGTAGAAGAGGAGCAGTTGACAAACCTAGGATTACAACAGGCGGAGAAAGTAACACGAAGACAAGAAAATGTCAAAGGCGAGGTTGTAGAGAGGGTCAAGCTAGAGCAGGTCCAGCAAAAGAGTTTCTCCCATAGCGAAGAAAAGTATGAAGTATATCAATATTCTGATATGAACATACAGGAAGAACGTACACAGCATCAAGCATCATCACAGATGTTTGCGTCACGGACAACGGTTAGTAAAAGCACCTCCGTTTTTCGTTTTCAGTGCCCACATGCTACCTTATTACAGAGTTTTGAGTTTGAGTACGAGTATCAAAATGCGATAATGGTTATAACCGCCAAAAGTCACGGGCTCAATCAGCATCGTTGCCATTCTATTCTATGTTTTATTCAAATTGTTTTATAGCTAAAATTATTTTATACGTCCGAGTAGGCTTCTGCTCATATTTTTCAAAAGTACCTATGATTCTTGATTAGCCTTGTGCGTCAGTTCTTTGATCTGCTGCTTAGAATACTAGCCCATCTGTTTTGAGGCTGCATATCTGTCTGACTTGATTTAATAATTATGTATAACTGATATGGCATGCTCGAGCAGTAAGGGCTACGGATACAGAAAAAGTTAGTCTTCCTTTCTTGTCTCAGTATTAAGAACGTAGGTACATACTCGTATGATACGTATGATAATTCTCAACCAGAACAATTATTAGTTACATATAGGTATATAAAGATTCTTTTGAGGGAATGATCCTAATATTATCAATTTTGACCCATCAAGCCTACTCAAGTTCTAGCACTTACGAGCTTAGACTGAGCTAGGTGGGTGCTCTAACCACCTCCTAATGAGAATATAAACAGTGGTGTTTTTCTTGTTCTAAACGTATCAAAATAGTGCTGAATACGGAAGGTAAAATTCCGTCTATCATGACACACGAAAAAACTAAAAACTTTCAGAAATTTTTTTGTATACGATTGGGTTGAACTAGTGCTCGTATCTCTGTGGACGGGAAGTAGTCTTTGGAAGTACACAATTTTACTTTGTTTTTTAATGCAGTCAGGCGTGACATTATATCAAAGGCCGAAAATAAACAGGAGAAATGTGGCGCACGTTCTATTGGAAATTTCTCAGTCTAAGGATCCTAAGGATATATTTGGTGTAACATTAAAACCTGTCAGCCAGTCTGCGAGCAATGAGGTTTGCAATAGTTTTGCATAACTGAAGGAGGTTTTTTTCTACATCTGTAATGCCACATCTACTATATTTCTGCATACTTCTAGTATCTCATCCTCTTCCAACTATGAACTGAACTATTTTTCTGGAAGAGCATCTCTCCTCTTCTACTGATTCTATATTTTTCCGACTAGTGACACTCTTTTCATTGTGTATATCTTATAAGAATTTATGCAAATTATTTGAGAATGTAGCATGTTTCTCCAGTGAACTTTCAATCTTCGCACTTCTGATCAGACACCGTTTCTTTGAATTTTGAAATTTATCTTCAGATTTAAATATACTTAAGTAAATGTTCGTATTTAATCAATTTTGTTTTTTTATGCTAATTTTGTGTCCATGGATTTCCCTTTTTGTCATTAACAACGCGAACACAATACACACAAATTTATACTCACAAAACAAAACACACTAAAAATGAAGGAAGAGGAACAAAAGGTTGCCGAAGAGAAAGTTATTGAAGAAAAGGAAAAGAAAAATCTTCCGAAAGTTATTGAGGCTGACAAAAATAAAAATATTGATACAGAGAAAAAGGACGAAATTACTCCCGAAGAATCTGTAGGAATAGAAGTCTCAAAGGAAGATCCATTAGGTGAACCACCAAAAAAAAAAGAAGACCGTGAAGACGTGAAGATAATGGGAAAAATGCAAACACCTGAAGCTGAGCCAGCAAAGAAAAACGATATTGTGAAAAAAGACGAAGCCCAACCAAAATCGGTCGATGAGAAAAAAAAACAAAATCTAAAGAAGCCGAAAGAAGCCGACCTAGGTAAAGTTAAAAATGGTACTGGTCCGGACAAACCTGAGCCAAACGTTTTAGATGAAAAACCCATAATAGAAGAACAGAAAAAGAAGAGCTCCGGAGAAAAGGCCAAGAAACCTCAATCCGAACCAAAAGCTAAAGGGAAAAAAGAAGATATTATTTCGACACCAGACCCTGCGCTTGAGAGTGACAATAAAACACACTCTGAAGAGGTAATGTTGAAACCGTTTTCTCTCTCCGCATATCTAGACAAATTTAGGCCAAACATAAAATGCCATCTTCTATTGAAAGAACAAACAATTTAAACAGAACAGCCCTATCTTTATGTACAGAAATATATATGTTAGTACATATGTACTTATGTAAATGCACGTAAATATATTAATAAAATTGTTTTGCTAGTTCTTTATGTTTGCATACAGGAAGGAAACAGAAAATGATTCTCATTGTTCTATCTTTTACCCACAGAAACAGTCAACGGAACAGATCGCCCTCAAGAAGGTTGACCGCAAGGTATGGAAGGCTAGGCTAGGTTGTTTTTAGTCTAAGTTAAGGCTCCTTAAGATCTACATATGCATGTACATAAATACATAGATACATAGATATGTATATAGAAAAAAATATTAATATTCTTTAATATATGTTCTATATCTTCTATATTATATGCTATATGTATGTATACGTTACTTGTTTAATGTTGATGTTGATCAGGCAAGTGTTGTATCCATCAAGGATGAGACTACGTCTGAGGTACGTCGACAATCGATTATTAAAACACATGAAGAAACTTTAGTTGAAGATATCAAAGTGTCTTCACGGAGATCTTCCTTGGCGGTAGGTTGGACTTAATGGAGTATTTTCTTTAAGAACTATTTGTATAATTTTCCATGTCCGTTTTTGTCCCTACGTTTTATTTGTAACACAAAGGTGGAAGAGTCTCGGGCAGAATCCAGGCGCTCATCGGTAGTTGACAAGAAGGCCTTAGAGGTAAGTACTCTTATGTATATCCATATGGTGTATACATATCATATACAGAAATAGTTGAGGTTCACAAAACTGCGGTCTTGCGTACGAGAATATCAATCCATCAATAAAATCTAGCTAGAATAAATCTTTAGTTGAAACCTTCACATATTTACACCCATAAGAAAATACATATATTCCCTGCAGCAGACTGATATTAAAAAACTAGATGCTAACAAAAATCCACAAGCTTTAAAGGAAGAGATTCCCAAACTGAAACCAGCAGAAAAGCGACGTACCCCAAAGGTGAGCGAAGTGGAACATCTATCTATGCTACTCACCTACGACTTTAAAATAGTTCCGTACTATTTTCTATCTTTCTATCTGTGTCTTTTCTGTCTTTCTAATCTTAAGCTCTTTAAGCTCTCCTTTCAAGAAGAATGTGTGTGAATTATTATTAACCTTGTATTCTCATAAGCTTAAAAATATATTGCCTTTTTTCCATTTAATTGATTGCATATGTATTTTCCTTGAGCATCTACTGTTCTTTTGGCAAATATATGTAGCTGAAATATGGAAGTCCAAGTCTTTCTGGAAAAAGGAAAGAAATCTGAAACTACTGCTTGCAAAGTTATTTCTTTTTCTGCTATCAGCGATGCATTTGAAATATATGTACATATGTACTATATTGATTTTGTCTGGCGTACAAACGTAAATCATTCTTTTCTGGATTGTATAATCCAGTTCATTTGTACCTCTAACTGTTTTTTAAATTAGCTATACATTTTTTAAATGACTGAAGCTCCATCAGAATATTTTATTGTATATCTCCAAAGAAATGAAAAATGTCTTAATCTGTGCGATTTACTAACTGCCTTAGTTCAACTAAAAAATTCGCATTCTATCTACGTATCCTAATTCTCAGTAATTCCTGCCTTGAATCTATTTCCTCCTCTAATTAATGTTTCGCCCACAATGTTTTTTATTATGTCTTTATGTTGTGTGCTCATCTTGATGTTTCGGTTAGACCATTGAGGAACAAAAGCCAGCCGAAGTGCTGCCAAAGCTGCGAAAAGCATCCATTGCACAGCCAAAGGAGGAACAGAAACCAGAAGCGGCAAAGCCGAAAGCCAAGGCCAAGCCAAAAGCAAAGAAAAGTTACGAAGAACTACCAGATATCCCAGACTACGAGCGTCCGGTACTAGAGAAGTATGAAAAATCTGAGTTTAGCCCATCGGACTTTACTCGTGAGTTAGATATTCCAAACAAAATGGAAAAGCCCGTATTAGAAACTGGCAAAAAAGAAGCAGAGCTACCCGTCCAGAAGAATGGCATGCCAAAGGTAACATCTATCTTAAGATTTTTCTACTCAAATATGCATTATTATACGTTTTTCTCACTGTTAAATACTCGTATTATTGTTAAATGTGTCGTCTATGCGTACAGAAGGCAGAAATCGTTGAGACTCCTGCGGAAGAGCCAAAACGTCTCAAAATTGGCAAAGGTAAACTTCCCGATGACGAAGATAGTCGGGATGGCGCAACACTTAAGCCGGTCATAATCGAACCAGAGGTAAGACTCGTATATTGAATACATGCTCTGGACTTACCCATGTATGACATACTCGTATAGAAACTAATTTCAAACCCCTGCATCTTGTTTTTGTTGCTATACCCCAATCCAATCTATGCTCCTCTCGGTCTGGCGTAAAATTTCAGAAGGAAAAACCTAAAGCTGGAAATGAAAAACTTCCCGAGGTAAGTCGAATTTAGGAAACCAACCATACCAACCGAGACTACTTACATATGCACATGTGTATTATTTCGGCAAGCCGGCGTGTACTTACCATTTCCAAATATGCTAAAAAAATATATACATATGCAGATAAAACGATAAGAATATCGTTTATTTATTTATCAGTAATCAGTACGTGCAACTTTAGGGGTACAGTTCTGAGATCAGAAAATAAATTTACTTTGAGCATGCATACACATGTATTTAATGTATTATTGGAGATTGTACGTATAAATACATATACATATGTACTATGTAAATAAGATGAGGAAGATCCCCAACATACTAATTTCAACAAAAACGAAAACCATTTTTAAATGGAAATACACCTACTACTAGCAGGCCGATAAACCATCAGTGATAGATATTATAAAGCAGCGACGTCGATCTTCTATCAGAAACATGATGACCAAAGAACCAATTCAAAACGAATCATTCCTTGGAGTAATTTTGAAACCAGTAATAAAGGAAGCTAATGAGCAAACTGCACCACAGCAAGCCAAACAATTAACAAAGGTAACAATATGGCACTACCTGTACCTGTCCCTGTCGGGAGCAGAATCAGTGCGCTCTCTCGCTCTCCTGTTCTACTACTTTTCGCTGATTTTCACCTGATTCTTTGACTTTGAAGCTGTTTGTTCACGATCAGATATATACTTTTTACTCAAATCAACTGAGCTGCTGAAGATCTGTATTCCTCTGTACTTCACTCTGACCTTTTATACTATACTTTTTCTTCCGCTCGCTCTCTATCCTTTTTTCTGTTAATTTCTATCTCTCTCATTGTATCTCTCACTATTTTATAATGCGTCTTATGTAACTATATACATATACATACGTAAATACATATACTCGAACACTCCTTATATCCACTTTAATACTTCCTTCATTTTAATTTTGTTAATGGTCAAAGGCAAATGCAATGGAGCAGTTTAGTCCTACAAAAGCTTCAAAGGCAAAAATATCCGTATTGAAAAAGCCCGAGGCTCTAGCCGTTTTGGATGACTATGAGCGTCCCAGCCTAGAAAAATATGAACATGTTGACATTGATAAAACTAAATCAGAGAAACCTACACCATCCATTATCACCCCGGACATTAGGCCTCCAGAAGTACAATTGCCTTCAGAGCCATCCAAGGTAAGCATGGAGTTAGCTATACTTATCCATAACATCTATAAATACTATATAACCGAATGGTTTGTGAAAAAGTGAAACTTGGAAACTGAAACCGATCAAACCAATTGGTCAAGAAACTATTTCCATGACTACAAATGATCATTGATCAAAGCCACCCGTACGGTTTATTCGTTTGTTCTCCTGTATTTTGTTTAATATTTGATTCGTAATTGAGTCTAGTTAAGAATTAATGTGTTCATTGCTTGTACATGTGAATATGTATACATACTCTTAATAAAAAAGCAAAGTATTAGAGTTAAATATTCGCCGAACGGCTATGCTAAGCGTTGTGTTCCGTTGAATATCACTAGGCAAGTTGGTTTAATAGGAATGTTTCTGAAAATATCAACATATTTTTATAATAAATATATATGTACGTAGGTAGTATATTATGTTATTATGTATAAATATATCTTATATTTATATATTTAATGTGTTGAAAAATCTTTTGTCAAAATTGTCTGTTCGATGTCTGTCTCCGCTTGACGCTCTTGCCAAACGGTTGAAAAATTGGAAATTATCACGCTTTTATTTTTGAGTGATTCAAAAAAGTGCAAACAGAAAACAAGCTTAACTCACAATGTACTACTAACTACTAACTACTAACTACTACTGGTTGGAATCTGTGATAAAATTCTTTTATTTCTAAAGAATTCCTCGAAAGCAATTTAAAATGGCATCCTTCAACTTTACAATAACTGCGGTAAACTAATAATTACTCCAACCCACCAGCGAGTTCCGAAAAATCTGCTAACCATTTCCACCAATTATTATAATAAAGACTATACTATCTAGGCAAATGATTTACATAAATTTGTAGAATGTGTAGATCGAGTAACAAAAACCACGTTTTTCCATATTTATTTATATATTTTTTGAAATAGGAGGAAAGGCCAAAGGTGCCCAAAATGCAGCCGCCAGCACCTGGAGATCCACCAAAGATCGAGGTGATACGGGAGAAGCGTCCATCCTTAGCACCAGAGCCACCAAGTCGACGCGGCTCTCTTATCCCTCCAGCCGATACGGGTCGCCGACCATCACTAATTATCAATGATGAGGTAAATTTGCCATTTATATCTAAATGTGATAACAAACGTATACATATACATATACATTTACAATTATCACCTTTCACTATGCTATTTACATAAGACAACGATAATCTTGTCGTATCGATACGTTAGGTATTTCAATGCTACTCGTAGGCACATATAATTGTGCAAGTAACCTGAGAAACAAATAAATGTCAATCTAAATTAATTCACTCCAATTAAATACATCTTGGGCCTGACTACACACATATGTGCATATGTAAATTGAATACATACATATGTAGGGCCTATTTTTCAGTTTGCTTGAATAGTCAGTTTTTTTTTAGCTGCTGTATATACGCTAAATAAGTTTCATCAGAAATTTATAATACCCGTACGCTTGTCAAATCAACATGAATTCCACTTTTAGCGTGCTAGAATTGCATTAATTTCGCATCTCAGTCGTTTAAAGGGAAACGGCTAGTCTTAAACTATGCTGTGTGTAAAATTCCATTTTGATGGTTAACCAGTCTAGGTTTCTGTGATGGAGGGACACTGAATTAGTGCCTGAGAGCTTCCAATTTTTTTATAATTCTATGTGTATTTATGTACGTATGGAGCTTTAGTTATTAAGAGTACAGATGCATATATGTATTATGCTCGTAAAAAATAAAAAATATGTATGGTATGCTTATGTGTACTCGTAAATTGCTTTCTCGATTAACTGTTCTTAACTTTGTGGACTTTGTTAACGCCTTACGAATAGTATTTAGTGATAAATTGAAAGTAGCTAATTTATATATGTATTTCCTGTGTTCCCTTCTATGTATCTATGCAAATTGTCCTCAAAACTAAACAACATTCAATCCAATCAATGAACCTATAAACCAAAACACTCCATTAAATAACAAACCAACAAAACAATGTTCTTCAACAATATCAACAACAAACAAACAAAACAATCTTCCAACGCATACCCTTTGCATTCAACAACAACACTCGTACACACTTACTACACTGCCAATCCCCCCTCAACTCAACTCAACACAATCAACAAACACCAACAACCATAGAAGAAACTCCGGCCGGGAGAAGTATTGGACGCACGGGTAAGAAACCTCCGACATTTTTCTCAATTTCTTAACACAATAAGCAATGCGAGCTCTAGCCAAGTGATTAGTTCTTTTAAGAATTCTAAAGTATTTTTTTGGGAAAATCTGGTACTCGTACCTTTGATCACGTCAAAATCATTATTTATTTCTGGTTATTGGCAAAAAACGCATCCGAACAAATACGAAATGTATGTATGACCCAATTGCGGAAGTCAATTAAAATTTCATATGAGGTGCTTTCGGGGTAATTGGGTATTGGACTATTACAGCGTAATCTGAGTCGACCCTTAAAAATTAAACTGACGTGGCGATTCTCGCACGATCCGCATGGCCAAGAGAATGTAAAGTTTTCAAATCAGTTCAGTATCAGTATCTTACCAAAAAACAAAATCAAACGAAATAAATTACGAAGTTCTTAACTGTTTTTAATTCCAAATTCTGCGGAAAATACGTATGTTCAAACGATGAAACTAAAATTTCCGCCTTGGCCATGAAGCATTCTCTCTACATATTTATTGTATGTATGCACATATGGATGTGTATATGTATTCTATATTCGTTTTCATATTATATTAATACTGTTTTGATATTCTGTGCCTACCTAAACAGGGTGGCCTTCCAACACGTCTAATTATATCGTGTCGTATTCTCCCTCGCTGTAGTTCTAAGCAATAAAAAATTTTTAAAAAAGACCCAAACGAATAAACTTGCATAGTCTAAAAATAGAACATATTTTTCGTCCCTAGATATAGCAAACATATGTATCCTCCTATTTATATAGTACAGTGAAGTTACAACAAAAGGTAGCCAACAAGAACAAATATCAAAGCAATGGCTTTTGAAAATGTTTAAAAGCAACGAGTATGTAGCCCTTCCTTTGCGCGTAGCCCTATTATCATTTGAGATCGGCTAGGCTAGTGTGAGTGGCTTATGTTGGATGCTCGAGTGGCCACTGTGTCAGCCGATGAGTACATAAACTACGCGTATGTATATATTAAAATTCTTGCCAATATGAATTATGTATATATTCTCATATTTATATGCATATTTATGTGCAAGAGGCACTCATATTTTCGTGTAGATGAGCTAGCTGTTTCCATTTAACGATGCAGCCTCAAAGCTACTATGTGGCTATGAATATACGTATATCCTACAGTTCAGATTCATAACGGTATATGCAATTGAAGAATATTGTTCAATTAATAGTGTCGCGTGTGAAAAGACAGCTTCTAGATCCAGCATTTCTAAATCTGATTCATCCAAGTTCGTTTGAAATTATGGATTGATAAGTATTTAAGGTGCAATTACATTTTTTTTTGGCATTCTAGTATTTTTTAGATTTCTTTATAGACTTCTAATTTAAAGAATAGATATGTTTACTACATATGTATTTAAGAGATGTACAGATGTAAGGGGTAGAGTGGGGAGCTAAAAGGGACCTAAATGCCGTCTACTACTATAACGGGTATAAAGAATCCTGAGACATCCTTAATACTATCCATAACCCCACTGATTTTTAAAACTCAGTCCTGCACATAAGTACTGGTACATTACATATTAACATACATAAATACACACTCGTACCAGCCCAGTCGAATCGATTCAATGAAATGATGTAGTATGTACATATGTTGTTTAGCAATATAATACAATTCAAACATACTCGTAATATTACAGTTGTTGAGGCCAGGCGAGGTCGGTGAAGGACAGGTGAGAGTTAGCTGCGTTTTATTTTTCCATAAGTAGTCTTGGTCGCATTCCTTGTTAACATTTGGTGAACTGCCATTGCCATCCACCTCGACACACACACACACTTTATAACAAAGAAACTTACATAAAACCACACACACACACAGCGTAGTTTTTGTTAAAAATTCACTGGATACTCAAATAAAGTTACTTCAATTCCATGAGTTCCAAACAAACATACATACATACTATTTTATGTCGGCTGTCCATGCTCACACCACACCCACAACCTAAACCTGTACGAACAGCTGTGTGCAGTGGAAACTTCGAGTACTTGCTACCATTAAGTATTGCTCAGAAGCTCAGTCGATACTAAGTTCAGGTCCTACTTAGTACAAATTTTAAAACCGACATCTGTTGTCCAAATAACTAATAGCACCCACCATGGTATTAACAGTAGTCGTTGAACTTTTTAATGCTGATCGGATTAAGTATGAACCTGGATTCCGTGTCGTGTTTGGAAGCAGAGTTTAGTGCATGTTCCATTTCTTATTCAATTAATGCGTTTTAAGTATTGTAAGTCTACTGTAAGTCGGCACAACAAGTCTTGGTTTTCAAAGTAAAAGAATGACTTCGTAAATTCTTGTTACGTCTCGGCATTGTTGTATGTACAGAAAGATAATAAAGTAATTAATAGAACCTCGAAAAATGGTGAAAGAACAATGCGGATAAGTATGAGCAGTGAAATATTTAGCAACAATCAAATTTTATAATTTTTTGTAATGTCTTTAACTTTAATTTAACACATTTATTTTTCTTGATCATGTTAGCAAAAGCAACAGCGACCTGGAGAAATGGGGGACACGAAACAGGTCTTAAAATTGTGGTCAAATGATCACACATACATATATTCTTTTATTGTCTGTTCGCTTGCTTTTCGTTGGCCACTGACATGAATGAAAGTTTACTATTTTATACATATCTGTACTTAGAAGGACGTATGTAACATTCCGTACTCAAACTTTGTAAATACCCATAGTTTTTTTTATTTCAAGCACAATCCCGACTAAGTGTATAAATATAAAGAGAGTGGGAAAAGAGTGAATAGAGATAGTCTCCTTATGTTTGCAACATTCGCAAACGACACTGCACTCTGAAAATTCCATTGGAATGTGGTCATGGGCGTGAGCTGTTGACGCACCACGAATGTAATCCTAAACGTTAATTTGATGTACTGTACATACTTTTAGAATATATTACTTAGAAAGAACTTTACCAGTATCAATATAGGGAACATCAGTTGGAAGCTCAGCATTATTACCCCTCTACAGACACTGTACCTGTACATATCCATGAAATCATTGAGAAAATAAATATTTGTATTTGTATAGCACCAACGAGTATATTAGAATTTGGTGGATATGGTTAAAGGTATGGCCAGCTTGCCAATCTTCCATCCGTGTTGAAATAATGCTTCCCTGTTCAACTGTCGGATCGCACCTCACACATCTGGAAAAAATATTAATTTTACTAAATTTTTTTTTTTTCTTTATGTCAACAAAGTAAAGTGTAGAAAATATATAGATACATATGTATGTATGTAGCTAAAAGAGTAGGGGGGGCTAATCTTGTGCGTGTAAATGTTCAAACTTAAGATACGTATATCTAATCTACAAATGTCATTAATACCAGTTATTTAGATAATGATAATCAAAATTATATAATATTTTTGCAATTACGTTACAAGTTAGAATTAAAAATTATTTTTTTTAATATTTATATATTTGAAAAGCTTCAAATCAGTGCAAGCAGCAAGTTATTCCATTTTCATTTACCATGTACATATGTATGTACGTATTTAACCAGAATTCAAGTTTCATTCCTTGTTAAAGTAGAATCATTTCATATGTATTTCGAGTTTCATTCCTTGTTAAAGTAGAATCATTTCATATGTATTTCGAGTTTCATTCCTTGTTAAAGTAGAATCATTTCATATGTATTTTGTAGAATGATTGTAGTTATAGATTAATGTTACTTTGCAGTTGGTTTACCCATCCTTACCCCGTCCCGCAGTATGCATTTTGATTTTGAATTTATGTACATAATTATAATCGGAACTTTGAAAACAGAAATTACATACATTACACGTATTATATTTCATGTTATGGACAATTTAAAGTTGGATGTCTTGAATGTTATCCAGATTTCTATCTAATATCGCCAAATTGTGAAATTAATAACAGACTCTCTTATTTATATGTATGTTTTTGTCTACTGTCCAAATGTTTTACTAAATGTTTGTGGCTAACAGCGGAGACGACCCTCGATCGATGTTCGCCGTCCCAGCGTCCAAGATCTAGAAGATCTTATTAACAAGCCATCCACACCACTACGCGATGTCGGCGATGGCGGTCCCCCCTCTATTGTTGATGTCCAAGAGTCATACTCAGTGGTGGAAGGTATGTACTATATTTCATATCTATGTACATATGTATATAGCTGTCGTTTGAGCAGAATTTTAAAAATCAACATTCTACCTTTCGTGTCTTGTGTATTATGTATTCAAATAATTAAGTCTGACTAACATATGTATCTGTTTATTTCGTGTTCTTTGTCTTATAGACTCGACAGCTTACCTTACGGTTGGCGTCGAGGGCAGTCCGGCACCCACATTCAAATTTTACAAAGGTGTTACGGAAATCCTTGAGGGCGGTCGGTATAAGTTCCTCACGGATGGGCAAACAAACACAATCACTTTGTGTATGCGTAAGTGCAAGCCCAACGATGAGAGCAAATATAAGGTTGTGGTGTCCAATATTCATGGAGAGGATTCGGCCGAGATGCAGTTATATGTGTCTGATTCAAGTGGTATGGATTTCCGTGCCATGCTCAAAAAACGTCGTTATCAAAAATGGGACAAAGAAGAACAGGACCCCAATTGGGGTGATCTCAAAGAGACCGAAAAACCATTACCGGCCCTTAAAAAAGTTGAAAGGGTAAGGAGCGATCGGATTGCATAAATACGTGCATTCTATATGTGTGTATCATATATGATACCAATCAATGCAAATTACTGACGATGCTGAGATGAATTTCATTCTGAGTTGGCACCTTGATTATAACTACATATGTTAAAGTCTTTCGAAACATGAAGTGTTTTCAAAGAATTTCTTTATACTCGTTTTAAATAAAACGAACTCAATCATTGTGCCAACTCGGAGTCTAACCAATCGTTTGCTCTAGCTTGAGTTGAATTTACTAAACCCCAGTCAAACGAAGATACACATCAATTTGCTTTAGCGCTCAATCACATAGTCATAGTATTTACCGAATAGTGAACAAAAATTGCATTGCAAAAGTAGCATTCTTCAGTGAAAATTTTCATACGTAGTATGTACATATGCACCATTTCAAGGGAATAAGATCTTGTATATGTGATATATACATTTGAAAAACTCAGGGAACTTTAATAAGACATAGATAGATTTGATTATATGCATATATTACTATCTGATTATTATAACTGCAATATAGGGGCCATCATCACGTAGGCCATCTTTAGCTGAATTGATCCCCGATTGGCCGACGCTGCATCCGTTTCGACGAGAGGAGGTGCGCTCTGTCACTATTCTAGTTTTAATACTCAAAATGAATTATTATTGTGATTATAATTACTTGTATTACCTAACGTTGCAGAGGTGAGACAACAAATGTTGCTTTTTGAAGCCTCTTTTTGGAGCGTAATCCGTTCTACAAATCAACGCATTTCCCTACATATATGGAATATATGTATATGTACATATACTTGTAAATGTGAATTTTGTTTTATTTTTACCGACATGAATGGTAGAACAGTACGGCCTCCCGTAACGCGGCTGTGGCAAGTTTTTTGCTAAAGCCAATAGCTAACATTTTTTTTAGATATACGAGTTTTCCAATATAATTTGATGTTTTCGGCATTCAGCCATTTGTATTTTGCTTCGCTGGATATGTATTCTGGCTGGCTATTCTATTTCGTCTAACAGCTTCCACATTAAGTATATCAACTTCGCACATACGCATCTTTACTGCTTATTTTTTGGAAATATTCTACTTACTTGCATACATATTATAATAAGACCAAAACAATTGACAGATCGACCAATCTAACTAAAAATTCGATATACGATAAGTATCAACAAAAAATTCACACTAAGCATACTTGGTACAAAACATTTTTCAGAAGTGAGAAAATGTTCAACAATTTTACCAAGTACACTATCCCAATTAAATATAAATTGTGCTTATATATTACATCCAATCGATAGGTACTATGTACTCTGCCTAATATTTTTTTTGAACATAATTTTTAAATTTGGCTAAAATCTAGTATTATATAACCAATATTTAGATTTTTGAATATATGAATATAATATATCATAACGCTGGAGAGCTAGGGCTTTTTATTCTGTGTTTTTAGAACCTATTGATTGGGCAGTGTAGTATACTTGGGCAGTGTTGCTATTGTTGCATGGAATACAATACGCAATATCATATTACTGAAATAGCTAATCATATGCTTATGCTCTTATGACTGATAAAACAGAAATATTTTTTGTTTTTTGAGCATTTGATTAAGCGTAAGCATGAATTGGATATAAGCTAACAAATCAAAATAATGTTATACACACATAATACATATGATGTGTGTAATGTGCGATTGACTCGTTTGATTCGATGACAGTTTTTTGACGGTGAGGGGGAGTCTATAGTACATACACACATGCATATGTACGTACGTTGTGTGTTTACATTATTTGTATTAATCCAATGAACACAATGGAACACTAAAGAGCGCTTAGTAATCGTATATCCAATTTACAAAACTTTACCCATTTTTGACAACACAAACCTCGCGATGTATGAGCACAGAAGGTGGAGTCGTTCCTTAGTCCATTGATTGACCAGTTTGCAAAGGAGGGAAAGGATAAAAAGGTTGTGTTTGAGGCCAGGTTCAGCAAACCAAACTGCAAGCCAAAGTGGCTATTCCGCAAGGATGTAAGTATGACAGCTGGACTGGACCGTGCTTATCCAAGTCCCAGCTGGAACATTTCAATGAAAACTTCAATAAATTGTATGCAATCAAATCAAACCAAATTTTTCCCCCCCAAATTGTAGGAGGTTTTTACGGGCAGCAAATTTAAATTCAAGCAGGAAAATGATACATATCAGTTGATAATTACGCAACCAAAAGTGGAAGATACTGGAAAGTACACCATCGAAATTGGCGGTGTTTCAAGCACGGCTTTCTTGAATGTCGAAGAAGCAGATCCTACATATACATTTACGAAGCCACTCAAAAAGAAACTGGAGGGCTTCACACAGCATGAAACTACATTAGAGTGTTCTGTCAGCAGCAGTATGGCAAATGTACATTGGTACAAGGATAATACAAAGATCGAGTCGGATGATCCTCGCTTCCTGATATCTAAAGACATAAATGGCAACCTTAAGCTTATCATTAAAGACTCGCTACTGGAGGACTCTGGCCACTACCGATGCCAACTGGACAAACAACCCGATAAGACTGAGTGTACTCTGAAAGTCGTTGAGTACCCATACAAGTTCGTCAAGGTTTTGAAATCTCAGCAGTGCATCGAGAAGGATACCGTGACACTCGCCTGTGAAATCGATGATGCTCAAGGGGATGTCCAATGGTTCCGCAACGATGAGGAAATAAAGCCCGACAAGCGTATACAAATTGTAAAGGAAGGTCGGAAGCGTAAGTTGGTCATCAAGGATTGTAAAGTTACTGATGCCGGCCAATTCAAATGTACTACGAATGCGGACAAGACCGAGGCGGAAATAATTATTAATTGTAAGTGCATAATTGTTGCTGAAAATGATTATATATATATTTGTATTTTAATTATTGTTGTTTTGCCGTTTTCTATTTAAGACCAAAATCGTTTCAATAAGAAACTTAAAGACACAGATGCCGTAGAACGAGAGAAGCTAGTGCTGGATGTCGAACTGCAGGACCAGACAGCGCCTTGTGATTGGAAATTCAATGGGGAACCAATTGTACCCAATGAACGTATTGAGATCAAAAATTTAGGTGGCGGAAAGCATCAGCTCATTTTTAATGGCCTAGACCTGTCTGATGAGGGCGAAATCACATGCGAATCTGGGCAACTCAGCTCAAAGTGCAAGCTTTCGGTGCGAAAGGGAGAAAGTAGACCGAACATTGATTGCCCTGATGAGTTTGCCGGACCTATTAGTTCACCTGTAGTGGTAGAAGTACCATTCAAAGGTAGGTCGGAATTTCCCCTTCTAATATGTATGTAAATATATGTACACATATTAACTTGCATACACTATATCATAGCGACTTTAAGGGGCCTCCTTACTCCTTACTTTTTTAAAGCTACAATTAAAAAACACATTTTTCAAGTCATTCTGTTTTCCAACTCCACCCCCCTCCCACCCAATGTAGTTAGCGGTACAAAACAATCCCCAGTTGAGGCAAAATTATTTAAGGACGGCAAGCCCTTGCCTGTAAAGGATGTGGAAGTCGCCGTGACCGATGACAAAGTCACGTTCAAAATAAAGAAGCCTTCCAGAGATTTATCAGGGCCGTATCAAATTAAAATTTCTAATGGTCAAGGTGAAGATACAAAGGATGTACACATTATCTGCCAGGACGTTCCACAGCCACCGCTGAATGTCGATGTTACAGATGTGTATCAGACATCGTGTGTTGTAAACTTCTCACCACCTGAAGATGATGGAGGCACTCCAATATCTAAATATGTGATCGAAAGGCAGGACTTGAGTAAGAAGCAAGGTTGGGAGCCTGTCGCTGAAGTGTCACCTGGTGAACCGTGTAAAAAGAAAATCGATGACTTAGTGCCAAAGAAGCAGTACAGATTCCGTATTCGTGCTATAAACAAGATTGGCCCATCAGATCCAGCCACATTTAAAAACACAATACTCGCTAAAGATCCATGGGATGAGCCTGGAAAACCCAATGCGGTTGATCTTACCGACTGGGATAAGGATCATGCTGATCTCAAATGGGAAGCACCAGATAGTGATGGTGGTGATCCCATCACTGCGTACATTGTCGAGTATAAGGAAAAATTCTCAAACGATTGGGTTGCCGGCAAAGAGGTAGACGGCGATGCAAGAATTGCAACAGTGGATGGCCTCAAGGAGGGTCAACAGTACGAATTCCGAGTCCGTGCTGTTAATCGGGCAGGTCCTGGTGAGCCTAGCGACAAGACTAAATCCATAATTGCCAAGTGCCGTTTCGTTAAGCCGTTTCTTGTGGGTGATGGTCTTAAGAATATTACTGTTAAGAAAGGGCAAACCGTTCGCTTTGACGTTAAGTACGATGGTGAGCCGGAACCAACAGCAACTTGGCTAAAGGAAACTGAAAACCTCAAGTTCGATAATCGAATTTGTCTTGAGCAGCTGGAGAGAAATTCCTCAATAACCATTAAGAAATCCGTCCGCAAGGACACAGGAAAATATAAGCTGGTGCTCACAAACAGCTCTGGCACTATTGAGTCCGAGGCCCAAGTTGTAGTTCTAGACCGGCCATTGGCTCCGGGTGGTCCTTTCGAGCCAGATGAGGTTAGGGCTAACCATATCAAAATGAAATGGAAGCGTCCACAAGACGACGGTGGCTGCGAAATAACGGGTTATGCCTTAGAACGGATGGACGAAGAGACAGGACGTTGGATACCTGCGGGCGAAGTGGGTCCAGATGAGACCTCTTTTGATTTCAAGGGACTAACTCCCAACAAGAAATATAAATTCCGCGTTAAAGCCATTAATAAAGAAGGCGAATCAGAGCCGCTCGAGACAACGGACGCTATCGTGGCCAAGAATCCCTACGATCCCCCAAGTCCACCCAGTCAGCCAGTTATCGATGACTACGACAACAAGAGTGTATTGCTTAAATGGAAGCGACCACCATCAGATGGTGGCCGACCCATTACTCACTATGTCATCGAAATCAAAGACAAGTTCTCACCAACTTGGAGCGAGGTAGCGAAAACAGAGGACCCCACTCCGGAATGCCAGGTGGAGGGCCTCAAGGAAAAAATGGTCTATCAGTTCAGAGTACGTGCAGTTAATAAGGCTGGTCCATCCGAGCCATCGCAGCCAACTGACAATCACCTTTGCAAACACAGAAACCGTAAGTCATGCGAAAGTCCATGTCCATTCTATCTAATCTTACTTTATTTTCTTAAAGCACATTCTGTTATTCTAGCTTTGGCTTAACATTTAGCATACATTTAGCAAGCAGAAACATATTTTATATGCCTCTAATGAACTTATTTTGCTTTCAGTTCAAACCATTAAATATCATACCCATTTTAACCATTATCATCTTAATTCGCTTTTATTTTTTTTTTTTGCTTTTGCCCAATATTATTTCGAAATGCTAAAATAATAGTGCGAAAATTAGACAAATTAATTAAAAATAATAATAAAAGAAACTATACAGTCTAGTCTAGTCTATGTTTGACCACATACATATGTATGCGATGTACAAGCATACATAGTATACATATCAATCAACGGTATCAACGCTGAAATAAAGAATATGTTATAGCATAGCGAACCAATGCAAAATATACTTTTGGAACAGTCGTCACCCAGACTGGGGAGAGAGGACGCACGCTGATTGCATGTTAGTAACAGCTAATAATTTCCAATTATACATTTTCCCAAAGGTAATCTACTGGAAACTACAAAGGAATAAAAGAACATATTATTAAGTATTATTTTTGCTTATTGTGTTTTTATGCTCATATGCATATGTGACACGCTGATCATAGTAATCATAATAATTCACAGCAAAATGCACCAGCTTTGCCTACTGACAACGCTTCTATTGCGTAGTATGTACACATGTATGTAGTTGTGCATCCCTCCAATGTTTTACAGTGGAACTTAAATTAACTCTTGTTGTGAACTTATCTCCATTCAATTTATAGTCAAACCAAAGATTGATAGATCTACGTTTAAACGCGTAACTATCAAAAGTGGTCGCACCCACAAATGGTCAGTGGACGTCATTGGGGAGCCAGTACCCGAACTGCATTGGAGCTGGAGAGACGATATCCCACTGACTAATGGGGATCGGATCAAGATCGAAAATATCGACTATCACACCGATTTTGTCATCAGTAATGCCCTGCGCAAGGACAGTGGTTTCTACACTCTGAAAGCAGAAAATCGTAATGGCGTGGACCGCGAGACCGTGGAATTGGTTGTGCTAGGAAAGCCCAGCTCTCCGAAAGGACCTCTTGCCGTTAGTGACGTAACAGCAACGGGCTGCACATTGCAATGGAAAAAACCCGAAGACGATGGGGGAGTTCCTATCAAGGAGTACGTGGTTGAGAAAATGGACACAGCTACGGGCAAATGGGTGCGAGTTGGGCGGTCACCAGGTGAAAAAGAGCCGCCTAGCTTCGATGTGACTGGGCTGAATCCCGGATCAGAGTATATGTTCCGCGTTTCTGCTGTCAACGAAGAAGGTGAGTCCGAGCCGTTGACTACTTTGGTCGGCGTCGTGGCAAAAGATCCCTTCGATGAGCCCAACAAGCCGGGCACTCCCGAGGTTACCGATTATGATAATCAAAGTGTAAGCTTAAAATGGACTCCGCCTAACAATGATGGAGGTGCCCCAATCCAGAAATATATCATTGAAAAGAAAGACAAAAATAAACCCGAGTGGGAAAAGGCTTTGGAAATACCAGGTGACCAATTGGAAGCTACAGTCGCTGGTCTTCAGGAATATGGAGAATATCAGTTCCGTATTGTGGCCGTTAACAAAGCCGGACCGTCGCCCCCATCAGATGCAAGTGTACCTCAGATTGTGAAGTATAAAAAATGTAAGTCAATAGACTGTGGCTCCATTAAAACAAATTTAAATTCTGCTATTTCAATTATTCACGGCTTTTTTGTTCCTTCCTACAGTGAAACCGCGCATTGATCGAACAAACCTGAAGCCACTGTTGGTTCGCGCGGGTAAACCCATCAAGTATGATGTTAATGTTCGTGGTGAACCTGCGCCAACAATAACATGGTATCAAAATGATACCGAGCTCAAGCCAACGGAACTACCAAGCAATAGTGAAATTAAAAACATACCTTACAATACAAAAATTTCAATTATTGACACAGTCAGAAAGCATACAGGCATCTATAAAATCCGTGCCGTTAATGAGCATGGCGAGGATGAAGCCACAGTTGAAGTAAATATCCTTGGCCCGCCGGGTAAGCCAAAGGGACCATTGGATGTGAAGGACGTTACTAAAGACAGTTGCAAGCTCAAATGGAAGAAACCTGAGGATGATGGTGGCAAGCCCATCACGGCTTACCAAGTGGAAAAGTTCGATAAAAATCAAGGCCGTTGGGTACCTGTGGGTCGAACCTCTGGCAATGATACCGAACTTGATGTCAAGGGTCTTCAAGAAGGTCATGAATATCAGTTTCGGGTTAAGGCCATTAATGAGGAAGGGGAATCGGATCCCCTGGAGACCGATGGCAGCATTATAGCAAAGAATCCATATGATGCTGCCAGCAAGCCAGGTACACCCAAAATTGATGACTATAATGAGCATATGGTCAAGTTGAAGTGGGAGGCCCCTAAAGATGATGGTGGTGCTCCGATTGTTGGTTACGTTATCGAAAAGAAAGATAAGTTCTCACCCATTTGGGATGAAGTACTCACAACCAATGTAAGTAATGATATAGACGCAAAATTTGTCATAACCAGAATAGTATACTCGTATAAAGCTAATTATAATTTATACCATTCTAACGATTTCGTAAAATATGCATTCTTTAAGACACCTGCACCTGAAGCAACCGTCGATGGCCTCACTGAAGGCAATGTGTATCAATTCCGTGTTCGCGCAATAAACAAAGCTGGTCCCAGTGAGCCCAGCGATGCAACAGAACCACATTTGGCCAAGCCAAGGAATCGTAAGACTGTTTTTTGCGCGAGTAAAAATGGAAAACTAACTCTGTTCCACAGCTTTAAAATATCTCTGAACTGCGCTAATGTTAAGCCAAAGGCACAAACAGATTTATTCATTTGATAATGCATTCCCAGACCTTTTGATTTTCAATTGACTCATATTTATTCATTTATAATTTCTAGTTAAGCCATCTATTAACCGCGAGAAAATGAAGCCCATCAAAGTTCGAGCTGGCCAAACAGTTAAGTTCGATGTGGACGTCAAGGGAGAGCCAGCACCTACTCTAACATGGATTTTCAAAGAAAAGGATTTAACTGCCAGCGGTCAAGTACGGTTGGATAACGAAGACTATAATACTAAACTAACATTGTTGGATACATCTCGAAAAGAGAGCGGCATGTACAAGCTACGTGCTGAAAACATAAACGGCCTGGACGAAGCTGAGGTAGAGGTAATAATCATTGACAAGCCCTCTAAGCCCGAAGGTCCGTTGGAGGTCTCAGATATTCACAAGGAAGGCTGCAAACTTAAATGGAAGAAGCCCAAGGATGACGGAGGCGTACCCATTACAGGCTATGTAGTAGAAAAGATGGATACCGCAACAGGCAAATGGGTGCCAGCAGGATCGGTAGATCCTGAAAAGACAGATATTGATGTAAAGGGCTTGGATCCAAACCACCGATACCAGTTCAGAGTGAAGGCAGTAAATGAAGAGGGCGAATCTGAACCCCTTGAAACTGACTCGGCTATCACTGCCAAAAATCCGTATGATGTATCAGCTCCACCTGGACTACCGGAGCTCGAGGACTGGGATGAGCATCATGTTAAACTGAAATGGGAGCGACCAATTCGAGATGGCGGCTCTCCCATTACTGGGTATATAGTGGAAGTTATGGACAAAGACTCTGGAGAGTTTGTTAAAGCTCTTGAAACAGATGGTCCGATTTGCAAAGGCGTCGTTAAGAAATTGGAGGAGGGACAACAATATAAATTCCGCGTTCGTGCCGTTAACAAGGCCGGCCCATCTGATCCATCCGAGCAAACCAATTGGCACACAGCCAAACCTCGATTTTGTAAGTTTTTGCAGTCTCTGAATATTTCTATACGTATACCATGTATAAAAGCCTATCTCTTATTCTCTATAATTATTCTATATAATTCTCTAATCTCTTATTCTCTATACAGTGAAACCCCACATTGACCGCACAAATCTTTCACCTGTAATTGTGAAAGCTGGCCTATCAATCAGCTTGGACATCAACATAAGGGGTGAGCCCGCACCGAAGGTGGAGTGGCTCTTCAATGGAGCTCCTTTAGTCAGCGACGAGGAGGGCATCAAAATTGATAACATTGACTACAACACCAAGTTCTTTGTAATGCGCGCCAAGCGACCACAAAGCGGAAAATACACAATTAAAGCTGCAAACGAAGTCGGTGAGGATGAAGCTGAATTGGAAGTGACAGTGTTGGGTAAGCCAGGAAAGCCGAAGGGTCCCTTGCAAGTCAATGATATAACCAAACATAGTTGCAAGCTCAAATGGGAAAAGCCGGAAGATGACGGCGGTGCGCCAATTGACTATTATGAAATAGAAAAACTCGATCCGCATACTGGCCAGTGGCTTCCATGCGGAAAGAGTACAGAGCCCGAGGCGAAGGTGATTGGTCTTCATGAGGGAAAACCATATAAGTTCCGCGTAAGGGCTGTCAATAAGGAGGGAGAGTCAGAGGATTTGGAAACGGAAAAGCCAATTATTGCAAAGAATCCGTTTGACGAGCCAGACAAGCCTGGCAGGCCAGAGCCTACTAACTGGGACAAAGATTTTGTGGACTTGGCCTGGGACGCGCCCAAGAGCGACGGCGGCGCTCCAATTCAGAAATATATCATTCAAATGCGTGATAAATCGGGACGGGCCTGGGTGGATGCCGGCACAGTTCCTGGTGACAAGACAAAGGGTACCGTTACCGGGGTCGAAGAGGGCCATGAATACGAGTTTCGTATTGTGGCAGTTAATAGAGCTGGACCTAGCGACCCCAGTGATGTTTCCAAATCTGTGGTGGCCAAGCCGCGCTTCCTGAAGCCTCATATCGATCGAAAGAACCTGCAAAAGAAAATCATGCGCAGTGGACAAATGTTGCATATGGACGCTGCAGTGAAGGCAGAACCCCCCGCAAAAATTACATGGACATACAATGGTGCGGAAATCAAATCTAGCGACACAATCAAAATCGAAAATGAGGAATACAAGACTACTTTTATTATGCCAAAGGTAAGGCGAGCTGATCGAGGAACGTACATCGTGACAGCCAAAAACGATTCAGGCACCGATACAGTTGAAGTGGAGCTGGATGTGCTTTGCAAGCCCAGCAAGCCAAAGGGTCCTTTAGCCGTCTCGGACGTAACTGCCGAAAGCGTTCACCTGAAATGGGATAAGCCTGAAGATGATGGAGGAGAACCCATTGATCATTATGTTGTTGAACGCATGGACACGGAAACAGGTCGATGGGTTCCAGTTCTCACAACCAAATCGCCAGAAGCCGACGTTACAGGTCTGACAGAAGGCAAGGAATACCTTTTCCGCGTCAAAGCTGTCAATAGTGAAGGAGAGTCGGAACCCCTAGTAACTGACACACCGACTACAGCTAAAAATCCATTTGACGCAGCTGACACTCCCGGTAAGCCTCAAATCTCCGACTGGTCTTCCAACCATTGCGATCTTAAGTGGAGGGCCCCTGACGACGATGGTGGAGCCCCAGTTACTGGTTATATTGTAGAAAAGAAGGACAACAACACCGGAAAGTGGCAAAAGGTGCTGGAAACAAATACGCCTGACTGCAAGGCACGCGTTAATGACCTCATTGAAGGCAAAAAATACCAATTTAGAGTTAAAGCCGTCAACAAGGCAGGCCAAAGCAAGCCTTCCGAACCATCAGATCAAATGACCGCAAAGGACCGATTTGCACCACCCAAAATTGATAGAACCAATATTAAGGATATCACCATTAAAGCAGGCCAACACATTCGGTACGACATCAAGGTATCTGGAGAACCACCAGCGACCAAAACCTGGTTCCATAATAAGGCTCGCCTTGAGAACGACGACAGCGACTACAATATTGATATGGAATCATATCGCACCAAGCTGGCTGTGCCATTTGCTAAGAGACTGCATACGGGAAAATATACCATAAAGGCCGATAATGAATCTGGCCACGACGAAGCTTCATTTGAAGTCTCTGTGCTGGACAAGCCGGGTGCCCCAGAGGGGCCACTGCGTGTTACTGATGTGCACAAAGAGGGCTGCAAACTTAAATGGAATGCTCCCCTAGATGATGGTGGTCTGCCAATAGAGCATTACGTTGTGGAAAAAATGGACGTGGAGACTGGACGTTGGATGCCATCTGGTCGCTTCAAGGAGCCATTCGCTGAACTGAATAATTTGGAGCCTGGACATGAATACAAATTCCGGGTGTTAGCTGTAAATACTGAGGGCGAGTCCGAACCGTTAGCTGGGGAGCAATCTATTATTGCGAAAAATCCATTTGATGAGCCGGGCAAGCCCGGTACTCCAGAAGCAGTGGACTGGGATAAGGATCATGTAGATTTGGTATGGCGCCCACCACTCAACGATGGTGGCTCACCCGTCACCAGTTACGTTGTTGAAAAACGCGAAAAAGGCACCGACAAGTGGATCAAAGGAGCTGAGGTTGCTGCTCCAGCTTTCGGGGATGAGTGCAAGGCGACAGTGCCGAACCTAAACGAAAACTGCGAGTATGAGTTCCGAATCAAGGCCGTTAATGCGGCCGGGCCCGGTGAACCATCTGACACTAGCAAGACTATCATTACTAAGCCAAGAAAGTGTAAGTAGTTTCTTATTCTCATTCTTATGCCACTGATTTATTTTATTTTTTATATGTATGGGAAACGTATTCATATGTATACATTTTTTTATATTAAACAGTGGCGCCCAAGATTGACGGTAGAAACATTCGGACTTACAACGTCAAGGCTGGAGAACCAATCTTTTTGGACATTAACGTGTCCGGAGAACCGGCACCCGAGGTTACTTGGACACAGAATAATAAATCTGTACAGTCGACAACATCCAGCCGTATAGAGAATGTACCATACAACACGAAATATATCAATAACAACCCCGAACGAAAGGATACCGGACTCTATAAGATTACTGCTCATAACCTCTATGGCCAGGACCAAGTGGAGTTCCAAATAAATATTATAAGTAAGTTCTTTGAGGGAAACATAAATAAATCAAATAATCTTTGTATTTTTGAAAATTAGGTAAGCCTGGCAAGCCTGAAGGCCCCTTGGAAGTATCAGATATACATAAGGACGGCTGTAAACTAAAATGGAAAAAACCAAAGGACGACGGGGGCGAGCCAATAGAGAGCTATTTGGTTGAAAAGTTCGATCCAGACACGGGCATTTGGCTGCCTGTAGGCAAATCCGATGTACCAGAGTATACAGTCGATGGTCTTGTGCCTGGACACGAATATAAGTTCCGAGTAAAGGCCGTTAACAAGGAGGGAGAATCTGAACCTCTTGAGACTTTGGGTTCGATTATTGCTAAAGATCCATTCAGTAAGTAGTAAAATGCACCCTTTATTAACACATTTTATTTGAAAAAAAACAATTATCTCCAGCTGCACCATCGAAGCCAGGAGTTCCAGAACCCACCGACTGGACTGCGAACAAGGTGGATCTTGCTTGGCCAGAGCCAGCCAGTGACGGAGGATCGCCTATTACTGGGTATATAATTGAGGTGAAAGATAAATATAGTCCACTCTGGGAAAAGGCGCTGGAAACAGACTCCCTAGCTCCATTGGCTACTGTTAATGGACTCATCGAAGGAAATGAGTACCAGTTCCGAGTTATTGCTCTAAACAAAGGTGGACAGTCAGAGCCATCTGATGCAAGCAAAACGTTTATTGCCAAGCCTCGTTATCTGGCTCCCAAGATAGACCGCAGAAATTTGCGCGATGTAGTTATTTCTGCTGGAACCGCTCTTAAATTAGATGCGAACGTTACCGGCGAACCCGCTCCTAAAGTCGATTGGAAGTTTTCAAACTATCCATTACAATCTGGAAAGAATGCTACTATCGAGACCCCTGACTACTACACCAAACTGGTTATCCGACCAACTGAACGGGGTGATTCGGGAGAATATTTGGTCACTGCGACGAATAGCTCTGGAAAGGATAGTGTCCTTATAAATGTTGTTATCACTGACAAGCCCACTCCTCCAAACGGACCTCTTCAAATTTCGGATGTACACAAGGAGGGTTGTCACCTGAAATGGAAGCGGCCAAGCGACGATGGCGGAACTCCAATAGAGTACTTCCAGATTGATAAATTGGATCCCGAAACAGGTTGCTGGATTCCTTGCACTCGTTCAACTGAACCACAAGCGGATATTACTGGTCTAACTCCTGGCAACGAGTATAAGTTCCGAGTGTCTGCTGTAAACTCAGAGGGAGAGTCGCAGCCGTTAGTTGGTGAGGAATCGATTATAGCCAAGAATCCATTCGACGAGCCTGGCAGGCCAGAAAATTTGAGAGCCACTGATTGGGACAAGGACCACATTGACTTGGCCTGGACTCCACCAATTTCTGATGGGGGATCACCAATTACCGGGTACTTGATCGAGAAGAAAGATAAATACGGACAATGGGAAAAAACTCTAGAAATACCAGCAGATCAATGTAATGCCACTGTTCCTGACCTCATCGAAGGACAAGCCTATGAATTCAGAGTTAGCGCAGTAAATGCTGCAGGCCCAGGAGATCCATCGGACGCAACACCACCAATTGTTGCAAAATCACGGAACAAGCCACCGATCATTGACCGATCTAACCTTATCGAAGTGCGTATTAAGGCTGGACAGGCATTCACATTTGACTGTAAAGTTTCTGGAGAGCCAGCACCAAAGACCAAATGGCTTCTCAAGAAAAAGGAAGTCTGCACGAAAGAAAACGTTAAGGTGTCCCATGTTGACTACAATACTAAGCTTAAAGTCACCAGTGCCACACGGGCCGATTCAGGCCTATATACCGTATACGCGGAGAACATAAACGGCGAGGACAGTGCTGACGTAAAGGTCACTGTGATCGACAAACCTTCTCCGCCCAATGGTCCTCTTAAAGTTGATGATGTTCATGCCGAGGGTTGCACTCTGCATTGGAACCCGCCTGATGACGATGGTGGCCAGCCAATTGAAAACTACTTGGTGGAAAAACTCGATGAAGTCACGGGGCGTTGGGTGCCAGCAGGAGAGACAGACGGGCCAACCACCAACTTCAAGGTTAAGGGCTTAACACCTGGACATAAGTATAAGTTCCGAGTACGTGCCAAAAACCGTCAAGGAACTTCAGATCCGCTTACAACACCTCATGCAACTGAAGCCAAGAACCCCTACGATGAACCTACAAAGCCTGGCACACCAACAATCAAGGACTTCGATAAAGATTTCGTTGATTTAGAATGGGCTAGACCAGAAAGCGATGGAGGCTCTCCTATTAGTGGGTACATCATTGAAAAGCGTGATAAGTACTCACCCGACTGGGAGAAGTGTGCGGAGGTCAGCGGCGACGTACCCAATGGGCACGTTCCCGACTTAATTGAGGGTGTCAAATACGAATTCCGTGTTAGGGCTGTCAACAAAGCTGGCCCAGGCATTCCGAGTGATGCAACTGAACCACATGTGGCTCGCCCCAAGAACCTGCCACCGAAGATAGATCGCAACTTTATGTCAGATATAAAAATCAAGGCTGGAAATGTGTTCGAATTCAATGTACCAGTTATTGGTGAGCCGACTCCAAGCAAGGAATGGACGCATGAAGATAGCATGGTCATAAACTCAGACAGAGTAAAGATTTCCAATAATGATGAGCGCACAAAGTTGCGTATTCTGGATGCCAAACGATCCGACTCAGGAGCCTACACATTACTAGCCCGCAATGCAAATGGTGTTGATAGGCACACCGTTAAAGTCATCGTTCTGGACGTACCAAGTACACCCGAAGGTCCATTGCGTCCGGATGAAGTCACTAAAAACTCAATAGGCTTGCGTTGGAGGCCTCCCAAGGACGACGGTGGCTCAGAAATAACGCATTATATTGTTGAAAAAATGGACAACGATGCAATGCGGTGGGTGCCAGTCGGAGAATGCGCCGGCACCGAAATCCGAGCCGATAATCTGATCGAAAATCATGACTACAGCTTCAGGGTCCGTGCTGTTAATAAGCAGGGCCAATCGCAACCATTGGGGACCATCCAGCCAATAACAGCTAAAGATCCATACTCACATCCAGACAAGCCCGGTCAACCGCAGGCTGTGGATTGGGGCAAAGATTTTGTCGACCTGGAGTGGGGAGCACCAAAGCGGGATGGCGGATCGCCTATTATATCGTACACTGTGGAAAAAAGACCCAAGTTTGGACAATGGGAACGTGCTGCAGTGGTTCCTGGCGATGAACTGAAGGCCCATATACCCGACTTGACCGATGGTGGGGAATACCAATTCCGCGTTATTGCAGTTAACCGAGGTGGTCCGAGCGATCCGTCTGATCCATCCAGCACAGTAATTTGCAAGCCTCGCTTCTTAGCTCCATACTTCGACAAGTCCCTTTTGAATGATATCACAGTTCATGCAGGAAAACGTTTAGGCTGGACTTTGCCCATAGAGGCCTCGCCAAAACCATCTATTCAATGGTTGTATAATGGCAAGGAAATAGGTCCAACTTCACGTGTAGAATCGAATCTTTTCCAAAACGAACTCACTTTTGAAATTCCTTCGGCACTGCGAAGTGACGAGGGCCGCTACACACTTGTACTAAAGAACGAACACGGCTCATTTGATGCATCAGCGCACGCCACTGTTTTGGATCGGCCGTCTCCCCCTAAAGGCCCTCTGGATATTTCAAAGATAAGCAGAGATGGCTGCCATTTGGGTTGGCATGTTCCAGATGATGATGGAGGCTCGCCAATATTGCATTATATTATTGAGAAAATGGATCTTTCTCGAGGCACCTGGTCTGATGCCGGCATGAGCACACATCCGGTCCATGACTTAACTCGACTTGTTCACCGTAAGGAGTATTTGTTCCGGGTAAAGGCCGTCAACGCGATTGGTGAATCAGAACCATTAGAAGCTTCGAAAAGCATTATTGCCAAGAACGAATTTGATGAGCCCGATGCACCTGGTAAACCAAATATTACTGATTGGGATCGTGACCACGTCGATTTGCAATGGGCTGCGCCAAAGGCAGATGGTGGAGCACCTCTTACGGAATACATTATTCAGAAAAAGGAAAAGGGCAGTCCCTACTGGACTAACGTTCTGCACGTTCCACCGAACAAAAATACTGCCACTGTTCCAGAGTTGACTGAGGGACAAGAGTATGAGTTCAGGGTGATAGCCGTTAATCAAGCCGGACAGTCAGAGCCATCGGAGCCGTCCGATATGATTATGGCAAAGCCTCGCTACTTACCACCAAAAATAATAACACCACTCCACGAAGTACGTATTAAAGCTGGGCTCATATTTCATGTGGACATCGATTTCATTGGCGAACCAGCTCCTGAAGCGATTTGGACACTTAACAACAATCCACTGAAGTCAAATGACAGATCGACAATTACATCGATCGGACATCACACCGTTGTGCACACCGTTAATTGCAAACGCTCCGACTCTGGAATTTACCATTTACTCCTGCGTAATGATTCCGGAATCGATGAAGGAAGCTTTGAACTTATAGTACTGGACCGGCCTGGACCGCCGGACGGTCCAATGGAGTATGAAGAAATAACATCGAATTCTGTAACCATATCATGGAAGCCGCCAAAAGACAATGGCGGCTCTGAGATATCAGCATATGTTATAGAAAAACGGGACCTAGCTCATGGTGGTGGATGGGTACCAGCTGTTAATTATGTAAATGCAAAGTACAACCATGCAGTTGTGCCCAGACTCTTGGAGGGTACAAAATATGAGTTCAGAGTGATGGCTGAAAACCTTCAGGGACGGTCTGATCCATTGAACTGCGAGCAACCTGTTGTGGCTAAAAACCAATATACAGTACCAGGCGTCCCTGGTAAACCCGAACTGGTGGACAGCGACAAAGATCACATTTCGATTAAATGGAAGCAGCCAATCAGTAACGGTGGATCTCCCATTTTGGGTTACGACATAGAGCGACGTGATGTTAACACAGGCCGATGGATTAAAGTAAATGGCGAACCAGTGCCGACCACCGAATATAATGATGATAGAGTAACACCAAACCACCAATATCAATATAGAATATCGGCCGTTAATGCAGCTGGTAACAGCAAGCTCTCAGAACCGTCCGCCACCTTCGATGCCCGCCCGATGCGGGAAAAGCCGAGACTACATTTCGATGGATTGGTGGGCAGACGTGTGAAAGTTCGTGCTGGCGAACCTGTTAATATAAATATACCAATATCCGGTGCGCCAACGCCTACAATTGAATGGAAGCGCAGCGATATCAAAATACCCGAGGGTAAGCGAGTCTCCTACGAAACGAATTCGGAGCGCACCATTTTCCGCATAGACGATTCAAACAGGCAAGATGCAGGCAAATATACAGTGACAGCAGGCAACGAATTTGGAAAGGATTCGGCAGACATTGAGATTATTGTCGTGGACAAACCTGCACCACCAGAGGGACCATTGGCATATACTGAGATTGCACCGGACCACATTACCCTGCAATGGAATCCTCCAAAGGACGACGGTGGCAGTGATATAACTGGATACGTTATCGAATTCACTGAGTTCGGTGTTGACGACTGGAAGCCGGTGCCGGGCTATTGCCCTAAGTCGAGCTATACCGTAAAGGGACTAACCGAAGGGAAAAAATATATTTTCCGTGTTAGAGCTGAAAATATTTATGGTGTATCCGACGCTCTCGACGGAAAGCCTGTCATAGCGAAGTCTCCATTTGACCCACCAGGTGCACCATCGCAACCAACTATTGAAGCCTATTCACCAAACTCGGCCAGCTTAGAATGGCATCCGCCAGACTACTGTGGTGGCAAACCAATAACAGGATACATTGTCGAGCGCAGAGAGCGTGGGGGTGAATGGATAAAATGTAATAATTACCCAACACCAAATACCAGTTATACAGTGCCAGACCTGAGGGAAGGAGCTCGTTATGAATTCCGGGTGATCGCGGTAAATGAAGCAGGTCCAGGTCAGCCATCTAAGCCATCGGATTCCATGACTGCCGAACTTCAGCGCTATCGTCCAGATGCTCCTGAGCCACCAAAGCCAGACCGCATTACAAGAGATAGTGTCACGTTGTCTTGGAGGCCACCTCGCAACGATGGAAAATCAAGAATCAAGGGTTATTATATTGAAGTGCGACCGAAAAATACAAAGGATTGGGTACCAGTCAACGACACAGCCATCAACTCAACCGTATATACAGTACCAAACCTGAAAGAAGGGGAGGAATACTCGTTCCGCATTATTGCTGAAAACGATGTTGGTCGTTCGAATCCATCCAAGCCTTCGCAGCCAATTACAATCGAAGAACAGCCTAATAAGCCATGTATGGACTTGGGAGGAGTGCGCGATATAATTTGCAGAGCAGGAGATGATTTCAGCATTCATGTGCCTTATGTGGCTTTCCCCAAGCCCACTGCCTTTTGGTATTCTAATGATAGCGTCATAGATGATGACAATCGTGTGCACCAGCATTTGACTGATGACGCAGCGTCTTTTGTAGTCAAAAACTCAAAGCGCTCTGACTCCGGTCAGTACCGACTTCAACTAAAGAATCCGTCCGGGTTTGATACGGCGACCATTAATGTTCGGGTTCTGGATAGGCCGAGTCCGCCAATCAACTTGCGCGCGGACGAGTTTGCCGGAGACGCACTTACCTTGTACTGGAATCCACCCAAGGACGATGGCGGCTCACCCGTGCAGAACTATATTATAGAGAAAAAAGAAGTTCGCTCTTCTACATGGACCAAAGTAAGCAGCTTCTGCACAGTTCCATTTGTTCGTGTGCGAAATCTAACCATTAACAAGGAGTACGATTTTCGCGTAATAGCTGAGAATAAGTATGGACAGTCGGATCCAGCCAGTACATCAGAGCCCATACGAGCCAGGCATCCGTTTGATGTTCCAAACGCTCCTGGAATACCACGTGGCATCGATTCAACAGAAGACAGCATTACGATCGCTTGGGCGAAACCAAAACACGATGGAGGTTCTCCCATCGCTGGCTACGTCATTGAGAAACGTTTGCTGAGCGAGGACAAATGGACCAAGGCCGTTCACGCGCTGTGTCCAGATCTAACCTGCAAGATACCCAACTTGATTGAAAATGCAGAATATGAGTTTAGGGTAGCTGCTATCAATGCAGCCGGACAATCGGTATTCAGTGCATCCAGCGACCTTATCTACTGCCGCCGACCACCACACGCTCCTAAGATCACTTCTGACTTATCGATTCGCGATATGACAGTTATTGCAGGAGAAGAGTTCCACATTACTGTGCCATACCATGCCAACCCCCGACCAATCCCATCATGGAACATAAATGGTAACGATGTGGTTCCAGACGAACGAATTCGATTTGACACCGATGACTATACCTCAGTGTACTACAATAAATCGGCGAAGCGATCAGAAACCGGTTCTTATACAATTACACTGAATAACACGAAAGGTTCCGATACCGCCTCATGCCATGTCACTGTGGTAGATAGACCAGGCCCACCTCAAGGGCCGTTGAATGCTTACGATATTACTCCGGACACATGTACCCTGGCATGGAAAACACCACTCGACGATGGAGGGTCACCAATCACGAACTATGTGGTTGAGAAACTGGACGCCAGTGGTACATGGGTGAAGGTGAGCAGTTTTGTACGCAATACGCACTACGATGTCATGGGTCTTGAGCCACAACACAAGTATGACTTCCGCGTCAGAGCAGAGAATCAATATGGTTTGTCTGATCCACTCGACATGCCCAATTCCATTGTGGCCAAGCACCAATTTACAGTACCGGATGAGCCTGGCCAGCCAAAGGTAATCGACTGGGATTCCGGAAATGTCACATTGATCTGGACTCGTCCAGCCAGTGATGGGGGCTCTCGTATCCAGGGATATCAAATTGAGTACCGAGATATCCTCAATGACACTTCCTGGAATACATACGAATATCTAATTAAGGACTCTAAATATCAACTATATAACCTAACCAATGGCAGCGAGTATGAGTTCCGCATTAAGGCCAAGAATGCTGCTGGAATGAGCAAGCCTTCCCTGCCGTCGCTTAGATTCAAGCTCAAGGGAAAATTCAATGTTCCATCACCACCAGGAACCCCGCAAGTCACTAGAGTCGGTAAGAACTATGTCGACCTGAAGTGGGAGAAGCCTGTAAGTGACGGTGGCTCTCGCATTACCGGATATATCATTGAACGAAGGGATATTGGTGGGGCCGTATGGGTAAAATGTAATGACTACAATGTCCTAGACACCGAGTACACAGTCATCAACTTAATTGAGATGGGCGATTATGAGTTCCGCATCTTTGCTGTGAATGCAGCCGGTCGTTCGGAGTCCAGTTTATGTACAATGCCAATCAGAGTTTGTGAAGTCTTGGGTGGAGAAAAGCCAGAATGGATCACACGATTGCAGGACAGAATCGCTCCGTGCGGAAAGGACTTTACAGTCCAATGTGCCGCTTCTGGCAAGCCCATTCCCACGGCCAGATGGCTTCGCAATGGCAAGGAAATTCAGATGGGCGGCGGACGAATCACATGCGATAGTAAGGATGGCGTCTTCCGCCTGCATATATCAAATGTGCAAGCCGGAGACGATGGCGACTATACATGTGAAGCGATCAATTCACTTGGATTTGTTCATACATCGGGCTATCTGAAAATCGGATCTCCCCCGATCATCAACAGGTGTCCCAGCGAACTGTACCTGCCAGAAGGAGACAATACAAAGATAAAGGTCTACTATTCTGGAGATCAGCCACTAGCTGTGAAAATCACGAGGAATAACGAAGTTATTTCAGACAACCCAGATGAATCTCACTTTAAGTTTACCCTATTCGACGATTATGTTGCGATCTTCATTCGAGACATAGTGAAGAGCGACGCAGGCCTATATCAAATTGAATTCTCCAATGATTCCGGAAGTGCAACCGGACAATTTGATGTACGTATCACTGGCCTGCCGTCGGCTCCCACAGGTCCAATGGGAGTATCCCACATCAACAAACACTCGTGCACTCTGGCCTGGCGTGCGCCCTCCTACGATGGTGGTCTGAGAGTGACTCATTATGTCGTCGAGAGGAAGGATATGGCCTCACCGCATTGGATAACAGTGTCAAGCAGCTGCAAAGATACGTCCTTTAATGTGCAGGGTTTAATTGAAAACCAAGAGTACATATTCCGCGTGATGGCTGTAAATGAGAACGGCATGGGTCCACCCCTGGAAGGACTGAACCCAATTCGCGCAAAGGCCCCAATTGATCCTCCCTCACCCCCAGGTATTCCTCAAATCACTGAGATTGGAGGTGATTTTGTGCATTTGGAATGGAGCAAACCGGAGTCGGATGGCGGTGCTCACATTCAAGGCTACTTGGTCGATAAACGAGAGGTTGGTAGCGACACATGGCAGCGTGTGAACGCAATCATCTCTGCTGCCAACCAAATAAACTGTTCCAATCTGATTGAAGGTCGTCAGTATGAATTCCGAGTTTTCGCTCAGAATGTGGCAGGGCTATCGAAAGAATCGACCGCCTCCCAGGCTGTTAAGATCATAGATCCGAAGGCGGCTTCGCCTCCTTTGATTGTGAAACCGCTACGCGATGCCAATTGTATTCAAAACCACAATGCTCAATTCACATGTACAATAAGTGGCGTACCAAAACCAACAATTACCTGGTACAAGGGGGCCCGCGAGATAACCAATGGGGCCCGTTACCACATCTACTCAGAGGGTGACGATCATTACCTTCATATTAACGACATATTCGGAGAAGACGCTGATGAGTACGTCTGTCGCGCTGTCAACAAAGCCGGAGCAAAGTCAACTCGGGCCGCACTGGCTATTATGAGTAAGTATCAGAATCCATCTAAGAAATTGAATTCGGCTGCTATTCCAATACGAGTATGATATATTAAAACCATAATTATTAATTTGCAGCTGCTCCGAAATTGAATGTTCCACCTCGATTCAGAGACACTGCCTACTTCGATAAGGGCGAGAATGTTATAATTAAAATACCATTCACTGGCTTCCCGAAACCTCGTATTAATTGGGTTAGGGAAGGAGAGAATATTGAATCTGGTGGTCATTACCATGTGGAGGTCAAGGAGAGACACGCCGTTTTAACAATACGGGATGGTTCACGCCTGGACTCGGGACCATATAGGATTACGGCTGAAAATGAGCTTGGCTCAGATACGGCAATCATTCAAGTGCAAATCAGTGATCGTCCGGATCCTCCACGCTTCCCGATAATCGAAAGCATTGGCACTGACTCCTTGTCCCTCAGCTGGAAATCACCTATCTGGGATGGAGGCAGTGATATAACAAACTATTTTGTTGAGCGACGTGAACATCCGCTATCTTCGTGGATACGTGTAGGAAACACCCGCTTTACTTCAATGGCAGTCACTGGACTGACACCTGGAAAAGAGTACGACTTCCGCATTTTCGCGGATAACGTCTATGGACGCTCTGAACCCTCAGATATTAGCACATTGATTAAGACGAAAGAGTCTATCAAAAAGAAGACGACAGAGCGTAAATGGGAGCTCGACGAGAGTGGCAAGAAGATACGCGGTAAAGCTGATGGGCCAATCAAGGATTATGACTCATACGTCTTCGATATTTATTCGAAATTCGTACCACAACCTGTTGAAATTTCCCAGCAAAGTGTATACGATAAGTATGATATCCTCGAGGAAATTGGTACCGGGGCTTTCGGTGTGGTACATCGATGCCGGGAACGAAGCACAGGAAACATTTTTGCGGCCAAATTCATTCCTGTGTCGCATGCTATTGAGAAGGACCTTATTCGTCGAGAAATAGATATTATGAACCAGCTGCACCATCAAAAACTTATCAATCTGCACGATGCCTTCGAAGACGACGACGAAATGGTTCTAATACTAGAATTGTAAGCAAACCCCATTCTATGATTCCCATTCTACATACTCTAATTCTATCTTTCAATAGCTTATCTGGGGGCGAACTATTCGAGCGCATTACAGCTGAGGGCTATGTTATGACAGAAGCCGAAGTTATTAACTACATGAGACAAATTTGCGAAGGCATCAGGCACATGCACGAGAAGAATATTATTCACTTGGATATCAAGCCTGAGAATATTATGTGCCAAACCCGCTCCAGTACGAATGTCAAGCTAATTGACTTTGGTTTGGCCACCCGATTGGATCCCAACGAAGTCGTTAAAATCACAACTGGAACAGCTGAGTTCGCTGCCCCAGAAATAGTTAACAGAGAACCAGTTGGTTTCTATACGGACATGTGGGCTACAGGAGTTCTGACCTATGTTCTGTAAGTATCATTATACTTATGCGAGTACTAGACATAATATAATAAATGTGTATTCTATTTAGATTGAGTGGACTTTCCCCATTCGCTGGAGAAAACGACGTTCAAACACTTAAGAACGTTAAAGCATGTGACTGGGATTTCGATGTTGAATCCTTCAGACACATATCTGAAGAAGGAAAAGATTTTATACGGAAGTTGCTTTTAGCCAACAAAGAAAAACGAATGACGGCACACGAATGCCTTTTGCATCCTTGGCTCACTGGAGATCACAGCGGTTTGACGCAAAAGATTGCACGCGATCGTTACCTAGCCTATCGCGAAAAATTGAGGAAAAAATACGAGGACTTTGAAAAATATTTGTTGCCGATGGGCCGTCTATCAGAATATTCCTCTCTGAGAAAATTGCTAATGGAGAAATATAAAATTCACGATGCCGTTTTCGATCGACGACAAGCAGCGCCGCGATTCGTCATTCGTCCGTCTTCCCAATTTTGCTATGAGGGCCAAAGTGTAAAGTTCTACTGCCGATGCATTGCAACTGCTACACCCACACTCACCTGGTCACACAATAATATCGAGCTGCGACAGAGTGTAAAATTTATGAAACGCTACGTTGGGGACGACTACTATTTCATCATTAACCGTGTGAAGTTAGATGACAGGGGAGAGTATATAGTACGTGCCGAGAACCACTATGGATCCAGAGAAGAGGTCGTTTTCCTAAATGTCCAACCACTGCCAAAAGAACAGCCCAGGTATCGAACGGAATCGACTCCGGTTCGAAGGCGTGAACCATTACCTTACACATTCTGGCAAGAAGAGTCCGAGTCGGCACCCAGTTTTACATTCCTTTTGCGGCCACGCGTCATGCAGGCCCGCGATACTTGCAAGCTGCTTTGTTGTTTAAGTGGCAAGCCAGTACCATCCGTAAAGTGGTACAAGGAAGGTCGCGAGCTTAGCAAATACGAATACGCAATGACCCACTCTGATGGAGTTGTCACTATGGAAATAATTGACTGTAAACCCTCCGATTCTGGAAAATACACCTGCAAAGCATCCAATTGCCATGGAACAGATGAGACCGATTGCGTCGTTATCGTTGAAGGTAAATTAGTTCTCTAAATCGAACACGATCGCAAGAAATTAAAAATTTTATGGAGATATAAGACTTATCAAAATACAAAACTATAAACTAGTGAAACATTCCTAGTTAGCGTACTTACAAGTAATACTGGATTGGAGCATTCATTCGACAAGCCGAAGCTTCAGATGTCTTTGCTGATTATGCGAATTACGCTAACACAGTTTATCATAGAGATAAATTAGGTGTATTTTGTATCCTCTGTTTTGTCTATCATCAAAGGAAATTTATTTTCAAGTGTTAAAATATTAACTTTTAAGCAAATATTATAAAAATGCTCCGAAACTATTTCGGAAACTACAACATACATACATTTGAACATATCAAAGTATTCAAGCTCGTTTTCATTACGTAGCACTCGTGCTATTTTATGATCATCGACCATTGTTTATCTCTTTTCAATAATTAGAATGTACAAATAGATACATTGTTTAAGGATGTGCGGCGAAAGGGTGTAAACATTTAGATATATGTATGTATGTATATATTTCCCGACTTATTTACCATATAATGTTGACAATTTATATTTTCCAATAATTTGTATGGTGGGGTTGGCGTTGTCGATTTATGCGAGAATCTATTGTTAACAAAATTTGCTTTCTACTTTATTTTCTAATTTAAATTTTCTCAGGAGAATGGGTTACGCCTGAGCAGGCAGAGCTTGCCCACAATTTCCTTTACTCAGGAGGTAATTTATAATCAATTGAACTGAATGTATAACGTTTTTCCCTCAGCATGCATTTAATACTTAACTTAGAACATAGAACCAATACAAAATATTTTAGTCTTTTATGTAATGATAATAAGGATACTCTCTAATCTTTATCTCTGTTGCTCTGATTTTGAGTAATTTGAATATTTCGATATTTCGATTAACGAATATGTCTGTCCAAAGTTTACTTTTAGTTCAAAAATTACACAATTCGTAAATTTCTTAACGTAACGCTGGCCACTTTTATAGAAAATATATTTTCATAGCCACTTGAATTTGAGAAAACAAACATCTCGTTTTTATCAATCCGGAGAAAATCAAATAAATAAAATTCAAACTGTTTAGAAAAAGTGACAGCCGGAACAGGGTGAACGATATTTGTAGAGTTATATTGAAACTAAATCCATCTATTACCCAAAATAACTGGATCTTATCCTATTATGTATTTACTTACGCACCTACGATATCTCTGTGTAAAATAATTATTTTTAGTGGCACAAACTTAACTTAATCGTAGAGTTCGTTTATAATAATGAACGGTAGATCTAATTGTATCCAACTGAACCCCCCCCCCCCCCCCCCCCCCCCCCCCAGAGGTTACATTGCTACATCAAACTTACGTTGATTTCAACTCAATATTTCTGTATTAATATTTATTTGCTCTTACTTGATTTACAACGTTCCCAACAGATCGCAAGTATATAGAGCAGCCGATTAAACCTGCCCCACCACCAATTATAACATCCCGCCAGTTTACTTCAACACATAACTCGTCAGAAACTAAGGTAAGTAGTCCAATGGACAAAACTATCTTTTTGCAATAGTGTATGCGTTTATTTTTGGAATTGGTTGAATTACAGACTGACAGTACTACCACATCAAGCTCAACTAGTTCCTCTACCATACAGAATAGCATTTCAGGCAAAAAGAAATATGCGGCTAATAGCCTTCAGGCTCCCGGAAGCCCCTCAAGGTCACGTAGTGCCACCAAAGAGTTAATACGTACGTAAAAAATACATATTAAATATTGTAGGCTGACAAATAATAATTTCGCTTACAACTGCTATTTCCTGCTAGTTCCGCCAGATGATTCCTTAATGTGCAAGCCTGAGTTTACGAAGCCCCTTCACGACTTAACTATTCGTGATGGTGAACAGTTGGTATTGACTTGCCATGTGAAAGGTGACCCAGAACCCCAGATCACGTGGTCCAAAAACGGAAAGTCCATTTCATCGTCTGACATTATCGACTTGAAATACAAAAACGGCGTTGCAACTTTAACTATCAATGAAGTTTTTCCTGAAGACGAGGGAGTGTTCATATGCACGGCTACAAACTCGATTAGCGCACAGGAAACCAAATGCAAGCTAACCGTTAAACGTAAGAAAACTCACCAATTATAATTTGTCCAACCCCTTTGTAAGGACGACTCTAATGAAGATTAGATCTGCTCAACATATCCTAGTCCAGTTACAGTCTGAATTTTAAAAAATTGAACGCCATAGGAGGTACATATATTAAAATTTATCAACATTTTTGAACGCACATCAGAAGAAAGCATCTCTTTTTAATAAGGGAGCCTTGAATAGACCAGTCGATCTAACGAAGTCCGTTTGCCTATTTTTCAGCAAACTTATCTCAGAAGCCATCTAAACGAAGTTTTGTAAATTGCCTTCTCCTTTTATTAATAAACAGATTATTCTCCAAATAGCTACCATAGGAACGATTGATGGCTACGAGTTTTTGATAACAGTTTAAACATGTTAAAAGCTTAGGTCTCCGGAATTAACTCTCCTTTCTTCCTTTTTTTCGCTTACACAAAAATTAAATACAAATATTTTGGTTGATATATTTTTAGCGCTAGATAAGAACTCTAAACGGCATGTGGTTGGCAGCGACAAACCACCAAAAATAGTCAGTCACTTAGAATCGCGGTTTGTCAAAGATGGCGATGCAGTAACATTGGCCTGTCGTATTATTGGAGCCGAGCATTTCGATGTGGTCTGGCTGCACAACAACAAGGAGATCAAGCCCAGCAAGGACTTCCAATACACTAATGAAGCCAACATATACCGATTGCAAATTGCCGAGATTTTCCCTGAAGACGGCGGAACCTACACTTGTGAGGCGTTCAATGATGCTGGCGAGTCGTTTAGCACCTGTACAATCAACGTCAACGTACCTGGGGATGAAGCGAAGCACCCGACCTTTGTAAAGTTCCCCATTTCAGTTTCAGTGACTGAGGGCGAAAATGCCACCTTCGAATGCGAACTAGACTCAACGCCTCTAAATCTGGTTTGGCTAAAGGATGGCAAACCTATTGATGAAACCCGTACTCGATACTCATTTACGAAAGACGAAAACCGATATGCTTTTACAGTGAACGGATGTATCATGGACGATGTTGGTCAATACCAGGCCAAGGCAGTCGCCAAAAAGAGTGAAAGCATATGTGCATTTTCGGTAAACGTTCACAGCACCGAAGGCTAAGATAGAAGAAATATGATCCATTCAAATAACTATATAATATCTACATGTATACATATTCATAGCCTCATACTTGCATAAATACTACCAGTACGAGTATGTAGCAGTATAAGTTATGAATGTGCGTTCACAGAAATTATTAGACTGCTCATACAACGTCGCTTTCATTATTCATACGTGTACATATATATATATACAGTATATATGTACAAATATGTTTATCTATGCATATGTAGTATGCTATACACTTGCATTTCATCCATTTCATCTCATCCGTACTCCGGCAATATCACACTACTCTTGAATTGTGCTCTTATGTACAAACCATAACTCCCACATTAAATATTGATATTATATTTTAAATCGAACCAATATTGTCTACGCGTACGTTTAAGCAAAATTTAAAATAATTTAATATTTTCACATTTCTATGACCTAATATAATGATGACCATGAACTTATATAAACTGAACGGCAAAATAGCAAACAAAGGGCCTCGCTAGTTTAGTGACTTTTGGGCATCCTCAATAAACATCAAAAACTCAAATAGTCAATAAAATAGTTGAGGCTTCTTGTCTGCAGCCACAGATCTGTACTAGCATAACCCACGACAAAAAGAAATGCGGACGGTTATTGACACAAAAATAAACATAACAATTGTGAAATGAAAATAAAAGTCAGAATATTTAAATATTTGAGTTATTTATTTTTTTTACTTTCAATTGACAATATATGGACATGTCAGTAGCAAATCTATCATGGAAGACGATGCACGAAACAGACGACAGCGTCTCTAATGTTGGATATTGCATCAAATCTTCGGGAGAGAAACATTAAATGCATTCGAAACCATTTTTATCCTGAAAATCCAATACAAAAACTACGTAAAATGGTTCCCTTGGGCAGCTTTGTTGAAGATCACTTTCCATCCATTGATAAACAGGATCCAACCTATTTACTTTCAAACGTTTGTTGGATCCCTCCACTTGTTCTGAAGTGTTCATCTGATGATTGTATACTTACTTTTAATTCGTTTTATCGTATGCAAGCCGTATATTCCCAAATGTCCTATTCCAACTTTAGAGAGACAGCTTCCATACTGGTTAAAATTCAGTACATTCCTGCAGTGGAAAACGCTGGCTTATGGCTGTTACATCCATCGTTACAGCCATATTTAGCTCTGCACTCTTTGAGTGTGGGTATAAAAATGGCACCCTGTTACTTTAGTGTACAGCTAATTTATTTACAGTTAATGTACATTTGATTTGTTACTTATGTTTAAATATTTACTTAAATATTTCAAAATATAAACATGTAAAATAATTTTTAACAATAGAATTTAACAGAAATCCACATGATTATGCAAGCGAAAGTAATATTTCTGGTATGGTAGCCACATTCTTAAATTGTGTATATTTTTTTTGTAATCATGAAAAATATAAATTCAACTAACAAAAAATAGCTCTGATTGGATCTTAACATAATTTAAAGAATACACAACATTAGCATTTAATATAATTGGCCAAATTTACTTTCGTTTTCTCCATAGTTTCCCGTTAGGGAAATGTATAAATTATTCAAGCACAACGTATGGCAGAACTATTAAGGGCTCATTATTATATGATTGCAATTGAAGAACTTGGTGCCATTCCTTAAATTGTTGAATTCGGGTACACCTGAAATCAGCGTAGCTGGATAACGCAAGGTCTGTCAGGGGGGCTGGTCGAATACCAGTTTGGTACTCAGCGCAGGGTAACGGTATCGGGGGGCTTAGTTCAGAATTTCCGATATTCTGTGGAATACAATCGCTGAATTTGTTGGCTAAGACTCTTGGAGAAGTATTACTAATGACGTTTTTATAATTGATATCATTCAGTATGGGGCTAGCAGCTAGACTATGTTTAATTACATCTAAATTGTTATTATTATAGCATAGATTATTAACATCATCACAATTCTCATTTTGTAGTGACGCCAGCGATGCATTGGATTGGGGTGCGGGTGTGTCGACACTGCCCGAGACCGCCATCAACGTCGGTTCGTTTATTAACTGATTCTCAACAGATATCGAATTAAAGGATGTCAGCATACCATTGTTATGCAGTTCGTTGAATTCGTCAGCTTCGACTCTTTTAGCAACTTCATCGAATACTTCATGATTATCGCTCTCGTTATCGCTATCGGTAACATCATTGCTGGACGACGTTAAATAAGGATCCTCTTCAATTTTAAGTGGATCTTCAGATACCGTTCGCTCGGCACTTGTATTATCAGTCTCAATATTTAAGTTGTATTTATTAAAAGTATTAACATTTTCCTTAAGGTCTGCTGCTGTCTCTTCTGAAGAAAGACCGTCCAGATCGCTTTCGTCATCATCATAGTTTGAACTGCTACTACTGCTGTAGTTTAAAATTCTCTCTTTCCTGCCTGCAGTATTCTGTTTACATAATTCATGACTGAAAAATAGCTTTTTATGAAGCTTTATTGCGGACCCGATATCTAGATCTGGCTTGGTTTTGTAGGTGAACAAATGTTTAAGCTCTAAATCGATAGCTTTGCGTTGCAAATCCGATTTTCGACGACATTGACGATAACGACGCCGACGATGAGGGCGTCGACTGAACTTTTTGGACAATAACAATCTTCTGCCACCGTCGATTTGATACAGGGGTGCGATCGAAGTACTTGATGTCAGCAGATTGGGCCGATTAGAGTCGGAAAATGAATTTTTTACGTTTCTTGTCTCGGATGCATTAATAGGTGAAGTAGCAGACATTGAGTTGGCTGGAGAATTGATTTTACTTGGTGTTTTCTTTATTGTCATCACAATGTGGTTGTTGCTAGCGCCATCGCCACACGTGGGTCGTTGAACAACGGCATATTCCTCATCATTATTATTTTCATAGTCATTCTCGACTTCATTTTCGTTCTCTAGGCCGGTTTCAGTTTCACTTTCACTTGAACTGCTGTTGTTACTACTACTAAGGTTTGAAATTGTTCCATTCAAAGAAATCTTAATGCGCTTAATGGGTGGATTTTCTTTAATATTTCTCTTTTTTCTATTTTTCCCGCGACGTTTTCTATTGGTCTCCTCTTCTACAGATTGGACTCTGTATCGCTGAGACCTCTGATTTCTCAGCTTTTCATTAATTGAATCCTGTGTTTTTTTCAAACTGGAATTGCTAGAGTTGCTGCAGCTACTGTTACTACTACTACTAAAGCGACCGTTATCCTGATTCTCGTATTCACTGCCTTTATCGTTCGGCTCAGTTTCCTCAAAAGGTAATTCGTCATTGGCGAGCTTTAGTAAGTTGTAACTAAGAGTTGGGTCACTCTTGGTCTGTAAATTAACTTGCATTTGCACATTGCTTTCGTTGTTATCATGGCCAGAAACTAATACATCAACATCCACTTTCAGTGGACTGCCACCATTATAATCCTTCTGCATGATGTCCGGGTCCAAGCCTTCTATTGTACTTGGAATCACTATGAGTGGGGGCGGCGGTGACTGAATTTGTTTTTTCTTAAAACTGCTTCTAGCGAGACGACACGTGGGCAAACACTTTGCCACTCCAAGAAACGGTGGCATAAATGATTTTAAGGGTCTGGTTTTAAAAGAGCTTGTAAATTTAATAGAACTCAGATCCTTTCTAATTCGGTCGTATGTAAGAGAGCCATATTTGGGAACAACGTCAGCTCCATCCGTGACTGTATAGGACCCCAGGGTATTGAGAAAGTCGGTTATTGTAGATTCTGAGACAATAGATGAGTCGATGCTATCCCAATTGCCATTTATATTTGGTATATAAAAGTTGTGTAACGCATTTATATGAAAATTATTCACTTTGTTGGTTTGCACATGAAACCTTTGCTTTGCAACGCAATCGGGATCCTCGTGACAAGTGAAAACAGGAATAGCGACATTCTGTTCTTCACTTGTCTCGCCCTCCTGGTTATGACTGTTGATTTGATTTTGTACTGTATCCGCATTAACACTAGCAACATCCAGTGAAGAAATATTCATTGGTAAATGAGCAAGGGCGTTTTTTAAATCTGCGTTTTCTTTGGTCTCTTCAAGTTTAGTTGGCGGCATCCGAATATCATTGATTATTGATTGCAAGGGGTCTTCGTCCTCATCAAAATCCAAATCAAATATGGACTTAACTGGTTTCTGTGGAGTGTCCATAGAAAAATCATTGTCACTCAATCTTTCAAGTTTAGGCAATTGCTCTTCTTGTTTTTTATGGCGAGAAACGTTATCATTATTTGAATCGCTCTTCGGATCGCCCACACCGTTGTCCGAACTTAAATTGATTGGCTCGCCAAAGGGGTTGCATATTTCTTCTATAACTAGGCAGGTGCACGGCACAATCTGAGCTCGGTATAACTTTTCAACTTCATAGACACTCAATGGGCCTTTTATGCTGTGAATAAGATGCATTAGTTGTGTGGTTACATCGCTATAGTTCTCCGACTTTGAAGTGTGCATTGATTTTTTCGCCAGAGATAAAGTCTGGAGAGAATTGCTATTGCTGTCCAATGAAGTACATTCCTTAATTTCCTGCGATTTGTTGCTATCTTGAGATGGCTCTGAAGTGATGGTATCACTATCCGTATTACCGGCATCTGCAAAACATAATTTTTCTAATAAGCTTTCTCTAAAAATGGTTTGTGTTACATGTGTCAACATAACCAATATCTATTTATTTAGTAAAAAAGTTTTTGATTTGACGCTAAGCTAATAGCTGTGATGATCTGACACCTATCTTAAGGCACAGTTTTGAGAACCGACGCGTACATCTAGACACATATACAGTCACCGATTAGGAACTCACCTTCATTTTTATTTGAAAATTTGTCAACACCCATTAGGGTAACATTTCCTGAATAAGTTTCCATGATTTGTGGCGAGTGGATCGACGTGTCTAGGAATATTCATAGATAAAGAGATAGAATATCGAAATACCAATATAAATAGGTCACTAACCAGAACAAGACGAAGTTGGTCTTGGAATTAGAGCACGGGTTGTCAGCTCTCGAGATATGGAGGAATTGGAGATATTACTTGTGGGCGACTGCACGGCAGTGATTAATTTCCTGCTCTGAATTTCACTGAAAAGTTCTTTGGTGGTCTTTACCTTTTTCACCGTAGAGCCAACGCCAAAAAAAATTTGCTGAGAAAGGCTCGACGATTCCTTAGCAATTACAGCATCCACGCCTTTTGAGCCTTTCTTCCGACCACGTTTTTTAGGAACTTGAGACTTCGATGAATTTTCCAAATATTCAGTCCTACTATTTGACTCGTGGCCCAACCCAATCGAAGGCATTGGCATTTGTATAGATGTTGCAATTTGCTGCCTAATAGAATCATCGATTTTATCGGATTTTCGGCGTTCTTCGACAGTCGGAGGAGAGAGCCGACTGCAAGACGTACTCGAGTCGTTTGTAATTGAATCCTCAAATATTGGTCTCTCAGATTCATTTTGTCGGAATACGATATTCTGCCCTATCGGCAGAGCGGAATTATCCTGATTTGCACTATCCAAATGGTTTACTGGCTTAAATCTGCCGGTGAATGTAAGCTCGGATGCATTTGCTCGAAATTTATGCTGTGGGTTCAATAAAGCTGCATCCCCAGATAAGATTGAACTCATCGAGCTATTAGACAGAGAAAAAATTTCTACAAGAAAA